TCGGCGTTTGAATTGATCCAAAGCTTTCTAGATTTTGTTTAGCTGAATGATTACTCTCAAAAAAGTGCAAAACATACTATAATCTTGCCAAATTAAGCTTATTTTACTAATCATTGCCCCAGGTAAAGAGCCAGCAAGTAGACTATAAGTTGAATCATAAAAAGATAACCAGCTTACGGTAACTATTGCATTTCTATTTTATTAAAAAGATAGTCAGCTTACGGTAACTATTGCCCGGTTACGGTAACTTTTTGCACTTTCTTAAAAACATAGCCAATTCATAAACTCCAACCTCTCAACTCCATTTCCGTTCCATTCAAGCTGAACTCATACTCAAAAGAGGTGAGATTCGTCGAATTGTTTCCATCGAAAGTCTCATTTATTGCGCCCAATAGTTGAGGGATTTGATCATTTAAATCAAAGGAATCCGTTTCATTTTCATTAACTTTATTCAAAAACGCTTTGATCAGCGCTTCATCTTGCATCTCTTCTTTGTCGCTTTCCAAGAATTCGTCGGTATCAAGCGGCTCAACCGCACTTGTCGACTCAGTTGTGGATTCATTTTGATCACCTTTTCCTGTACTTTGATTAACTTCATCACCATCATCAACTTGATCAACTTGATATTCTTCCTCCTTTTATCATTCCCCCTTTCTTCAAAACTCCCAATCGGTTCATCGATTTGATCTCTCGGCAAACTCGTTGTCACTTTAGCCTCATTTCCTGCTAAAGCTTTCAAAAAGGAATCCAACTGCTCCTCATCTTTCTCATTCTCGGAAATCAATTTTCCGATATTCATCATCAAACTTTTCCTTTTTCATTTTCTTCTTCTTCTTCTTCGGCCTCTTCCACTCTAAATGAGCATCAATTCTCTCAATGCTTATCTTTTTCTTCACCCCCGATCATTTCCACTTGTTGAGTTTCCGTGACAATTTCCGTGGATTCTAAATGGTTTTCTGAAGGATTTTCTAAAGATTCTTCTTCAATTTCTGTAATAAGTTCTGTTATAATTGTCATTGTCGTTGTAGTAGTTGTTGCCGTTGTAGTAGTGGTTGTCATTGTAGTAGTTGTTGTCGTTGTAGTAGTTGTTGTCGTTGTAGTAGTGGTTGTCGGCTGACCAGGCAACACCACCACTTTTTCGTGGTCATAATTCTGCCATCCCACCACTTCGTTTTCCTCTTTATCATCATCTTTTCCGTAAATCGCGAACCAATCAAAGAGTTTTCTTTTCTTTGAGAGTTTTCCCTTTGACTTCTTTTTTGGATATTCAGTGAATGACTGCGGTTCGCTACTTGTCTCTGAATCAATCACATCAATATTCTTGGAGATTTCATCAAAATTCTCCGTCGAAATAGGCAATTCATCTAAATAAAACAATCAAGATAACGGAATGCCCAAAAAATTCAATCTTAAATTTTTCAGAATGTTTTGATTTTAGGCTTTTAGGCGAGCTCGTTTTAAAATTGCAGTATTTGCTTTGTCAATTTAAATCGTAAACAGCTATCGTGCTTATCCACTCACTTTTTCTATTGTAGAATTTTCGTTCAACGAAACCTTTGATGTCCATATCAATAAAAGAATAAAAATCTTCATAGTTTTAGGAACATTTCAGAAAAATCGAAATAACAAACAGATGTATCCTTGTAGGTAAAAGTGGGGAAACACGAAATGGGGTGTAAATGGGAGCATTTTGGGGGAAAAACGGGGAATGGAATGAAAGGTCGATAGGGGAAATTGGGAGAAAAATCATTTGAAGGAAACTCGTGTACAATGATCAGAGAAATTTCCCTTTTTTTTGCCTTTTCTTTGCTTTTGCTCACTTTTTCCAATCACATTTATCAAATGAACCGAAACATGATGATGATTGATGGAGAAGCTCTTGCAATTGCACTCATACAAATTAACCAGCCATCTACTTGACTCCAGTATTCTTGATCCACGTTGAGAAAAAGAGATATTTTCGTATCTTTCCCCCGCCACTCTAAAGATAAATGCTAATTTGCATCATCCATAGTTTCACCGCCACTAATGGGTCAATAGAAATGTACTAATAGTAAGATTTCACAGTGTTAAATATGTTCTCTGTCCATCTAATTGTACCTAATACTTACAGTAAGTAAACTGAAAATTATTATAAAGCCAGTGCTTGTAGATTTTTGAGCTTAATGGCGAGGAGAGGATGCGGATGATTAACATATGAACGCGAGAAAGATATGGAAATACAAAAAAAAAGATATTCGGCCGTGTTTCTTGACTGTTAGTTTTGTTTGTTAGCCAAAACTTGTTCCCAAAAATTTGGGCATAGTGAAAGTGACAAACAAAAATCGGCTCAGTCGGCTTTTTTCGGAATCGGCTCAGTCGGCGAAAATCGGCTTTTTTCAAAGTTTGTTTTAAAAAAAGGCAAGCACCTATATCAAGACGGTTTGCCAGATGGCGAGCGATTGTGCGCGCGCACAAAGAACATCTCGCGTCTCTCGATGTCTCTCTCAATTTTCTTAATTCTAACTCAATCAAATTCTATTTTATATTCATTCGCAAGTCTGAAATGTTCTCTTTAAAGTTATTTAAAAGTTAACACTAATAATATCTCTAAATAAAGTTATGAATCAAAGTTTGGACAAGAACCGGATACTCTAGACTTTGATAATGAGAGAGAAGAGTAGACTTGGCTGTTGATCTAGAACCAGTTGACTTGTTGGCTGAATATTTTTACTCTTTATATTTTTATGAGATAAGAAACTGTACCAGATAGCTAAAAATCGGTTTAGACAATAATTTTCCGCATGTTTCTGCATGCATCAACATCTACTATATATAAAGCAGAAGAGACGTCTGTCTGTCTGTCTGTGCGCAAACGCGACGCTCCGTAATTACGTTTTGCTCTATCGGTTAAAAAACAAAGTGTTCAGCTTTTGCGTGCGATATTTTGCTCCCAGAGGTTTTCAGCTATGGCAGATTTAACTTTTAGATTCATTTTTAACATTGGTTAACTTAACTTTAACAGCTTAACATTGGTTACGGTAGTTTTAGTCATTTAAAAGAAAGAGCGTTTTCCGCTCGTTAACACATAATTGTCCTCTATTGAAATCGAAATTCGCGGCGCTTGTGTGTGCTTATCATTTTTCTTGAATGTCTTTGTTTTGCAAGGAAAGGAGCCCCCTTCTCTTTCCTTCCCGCCTCAATCGATTCCACAAATTTTTTCGTATTTTTTTGTGAATTTGAAACAGTCGCTTAATTTTCTAGTCCTTTTTTGACTCTTTTTTTTGTTGAAATTCCAACAATTTACAGTTCTACTTTACGTTGAAAAAGCTAGCTCAAACCTATCAGCTCAACGCTAGAATTTTTTAGATAATTCTGCTGAAAATTGTTGAAATAATGTCAAATGTGACAAGATTTTCCATCCCAAAACCCCTGGTTGCAAATTTCGAGCCTTTTTCAGCCGTCAAACAACTTCCACAATCCACCCACAGTGGATCGTATCATCCCAGGCTTGTCCTGGAGGCCAGATAACCGAAAACCCATTGTTATTGTGTGTTAAGATGTATTCCTCTCTTCATTTTCCCAAATATTTTAAGAAAAATCTTTGGATTTCATTTGTTAATCCATCGATTTCCCAAAAACGATCTCTTTTCAATTTCTTCTTTCTTCACAAATGTATTATATTGAGTATTGTATTGAGTAAGCAAAATGCCCTTTTATTCATTCAATTTGTTGATTCAATTCCCCTTAAAATGTCTTTTAAAAAGAAAAAAAGGCTTTGAATAGATGAGCGAGGAAAGGGAAAAGAAGGGCAAGGGATGGATAGGGAAGGTTGTTGTTGTCTGTGTGTGCCATTTCTGTTTTCCACAACGCTGATCTTCGAGATCTTGAAAAAAAAGAGCTTATTAAATAAACGACATTCCGCTTTCACGACATGCTTATGCAAATGCAACCCTGTCCATTTTTCTTTTCTCTTTTAATACTTGCACTTTTCTACTCAATTGAACTTTATATTTGAAGTGTGTCATCCTAAAAGATTTTGAAGAAGATTATCCTAAAGATAATCTTCGAGATTTTGAAAAGTTTTTTTATGGTTTTATTTGCTGACTTTTAAGATCTTTTCTTAAAACTCTAAATAGTAGATTGAATAAAACTAGAGCCAAGATTACGATAGTTTTCAAAAATTTCTATGATTTAAAAAAGGAATCCTTTAGTTGGATTTATAGGTAACTTTTTATAAGAACTCAGTTAAAAAGCAGAAGGAGGAAAAGAAGAAGTTAAAGAAGTTTAGATTGGGTGGATGTGAAGGGAAAAGAGTGGTTTTTGTGAGTGCAATGATTTCGAGAGGGTCCACCGGGGTCCCAGGGCACCTCCCTCCCTTCCCGTGTCGATCGACCGCTCTGGATCCCTGTGAGAGCATAGGGTGGCGAGGGTTCGACAGACACCTAGACACCCCTTTTCTCTTCACATCACCCTCCTCTCTGCCCCCTTCTCGTACCAGCTGATTTTCTCCTCTCTGCTCACCCTTTTTTCCTCCACATTCCCTCGAATTCCCTCATCTACTTTCTTTCAATTTTATATCCATAATTGCTTTTTTTGTTAACTGTTAGACTTTAGTTATACTAAGTCCATTGATTTACGGCTAAAAACAGGTTCAAATCAAGATTGTGAGAAGAGGGAAAAAGAAATTTCTGGCTGGCTGGCTGGTTGGCTTTTTTGACGACTATTGATTGATGAACTTTCTTTTCTCTCTTTTGCGGAAAGATCAACAAAAGATTTCGATATCAATCGTTTTCTCTTTATGCAAATTCTTGATCTTTTAAAACCAATTCCCTGATTTCACTCTTACCAATGACTGGGGAAATTTCTTTATCTCGATTAGATCAATGCTCGTTATCTGGTGGAATGAATTGTTTAATGTACTTTTAAATTTTCATTTATTTTTGAATCTATTTAAATTTTTAACCCATTTCCAGTTGAAAACTTCTTGTTAAACCAAAAAAACGATTTTCCTATGAAGAATGGATGGTATTGATCCGGAGACTCTTCTCGAATGGCTACAAACGGGTGCGGGTGATGAACGGGATTTACAAGTGAGGATTTATAGATAATATTATAAATATCTAGTACTAGATATCATAGCTTAACTTTATTTAGAATATTGAAAGCTTTGTGATTAGATCACTAACAATCCGTGCAAGTTACACAATGGGCACGTGAGAATCACACTGACCATTTAAAACCATAATATATGGACTTATGATATTGATAGATAAGATATAGCTTACTATTTTTTAAAAGTAGTGTATATTGTTTGAAATATAACCAGGTAACAAAATTTGCACTAACAAGCAAACTTTATGTTATCTCACTCATATTTCATTCATCAAATTTAGTCTAGAATCTTGGTAAAAAATAAATAAAGCATATTAGGTTAAAAAGAAGAATTAAGTAGTTGATAAGCTTTCAGTAGCTGGTAAGCTACTGAAAGTTTATCCTAACCATAAAACATAAGTGCATATAATGGTTATATTCCCAAGTGGAAACCCAATAAATCAGGCTAACTTATTTTATAGTTTTCTAGAGCCTTATAAATTCTCTAACTTTTCCTTCTATTCTAAAATTCTATAAAATTTTAGTTGATGGCTTTGGAGCAATTATGTATGCTGTTGTTGATGTCGGATAATATCGATCGATGCTTCGAGAGTTGTCCACCGCGAACTTTCCTCCCGGCTTTGTGTAAAATTTCCCTCGACGAAACGGCACCCGACAACGTGCTTGAGGTTGGTGACGTTCGATTTTAAAATCTTCTAATACTATCGAGCTATTTATTCGCTTTTCAGGTGACGGCCCGAGCGATCACCTATTATTTGGATGTGTCAAATGAGTGCACGAGGAGGATTACACAGGTTGGTAGCTGTATTTTATATTATGTAGCTAGATATTCGGTTAGATCCAGATTTATACTTTCAAAAACGTAAACGCATCCTCTCTAGTGCTTTTTTATAGCTCTTTATAGTTTTAAAATAAAAAAGTCAAATTTTAAAAAACAATTTCTAGGTGGAATGGAGCAATCAAAGCAATTTGCAATCGTTTGGCTGCTGCCGAAATGAATGACCGAAGCAGTAAAGATCTGGCGGAGCAATGCGTGAAACTTCTCGAGCACGTGTGTCAGAGAGAGACATTGGCCGTATATGATGCTGGCGGGATACACGCAATGCTGACACTTGTGCGACAAAATGGAAATCAAATCCACAAGGACACCATGTATTCGGCGATGTCTGTCGTGACACGCCTATGCGGGAAAATGGAGCCAAACGAGCCGGCACTGGTATGGGATAAACGATAATAGTATAATATATAATTTAGGCTCAATGCGCTGAGAGTCTTGGCGCCTTGCTGGCACACGAGGATGCAAAAGTGTCCGAGTCGGCGTTGAGATGTTTTGCCGCACTCACCGATCGTTTCATCCGGAAATCGATGGATCCCATTGAGTTGGCCAGGCACACAGGTAAACAAAAGGATATATGGTAGCTATAATAAAATATCTAAATAAGATTGGTTCTACATTCTTAACTCAAACAATACTCAAGTTTCCCAGTACTAAAACTTTGCTCTTTCGATGAAGTTAAAACAGCGCCGAATAGAAAACGTTCAAAAACGGCGCCAAATTTCTCACAATCCAAAAAACAAGCGGTTCAATTTTTATGTCAAAGGGTCCTTGCGTTCTTGGCTGCATGATGGGTGAAGCAGTTTTTAAAAGTTAATATTCCATAGATAAAGTTAGCGAAATATTAACTTTTTAAAAAACTGTTTCACCCATCATGTAGCCAAGAACGCAAGGAATCTTTGATATAAAATTGAGCCGGCTTAGTTTTTTGGATTGTGAGAAATTTGACGGCGTTTGAACGTTTTCTATTCGGCGCTGTTTTAACTGCATTTCTTATATTCTTCAATTTTCAGCAATCTTGTCGATCATCTACTCGCTTCACTCTGTGCAACCGAGCCTCCATCAGCCGTTTTCACGAGCATCGTTTTGTCGATTCTCAGCAATCTCTGCCGAGGAAGTGCCGAGGTCACGCAACAAGTGTTGAGGTGAGTAATTAATTTTAAAATGTCATAAATTTCCCGGATTTAGCAATAATCTCTTGATCGCCGCCCTCTTCGCCGTGTTGACGGGAAAGAATGATCGTTGTTGTGACTGATGGATTGAGATTAGCTGATCTTCTCGTTGTTCTTCTTTGCGAGGGAAGGAATTCGTTGCCGAAGAATTGCCCGGTACGGTAATCGTTATCATATAAAAATTCTAGATCTGTACAAGTTAGCTAAATTTGAAATTTGATTTGGACAAGTTGGGTAAAAATTTTCAACTTCAATGAATTAAATGAATTAAAAATATTCAGGTATCGGAAACGGGATTAGCCGGCTCGGGGACGGGAGAACGGGCAAGGCATCTCATCGATGCGATCCGCCAAAAGACACTCAAGCGCTGGTGGAAGCGATCGAAAGTGGAACGGTGAGTGTTTAGCAGATAAATCAAATCAATATACAAACGTATTTTGACTCTAGGGATCTTCACTTAAAAAATGACAGTCTAGGACGGGTACAGTTAAAATTGCACAATTTCAAAGTCGTTTTCAAAGCCATCATCTCAATCTTCAGGTTGATGTGAACTACACAGACGACGTCGGTCAATCGTTGCTGAATTGGGCGGCTGCATTCGGCTCAATCGAGATGGTCTCCTTTTTTGTGCGACTCTATAGGCCATATGTGAATAAAGGAAGCAAAAGCAGCTCGTTGCATTATGCAGCTTGTTTTGGACGACCCGATGTGGTGAAGATGTTATTGCAACGAGGAGCGAATCCGGATTTGAGGGAGATGAAGATGGGAAAACGGCGCTGGACAAGGTAAAACAGTTGATTGGATCGAGATTTCTTACAGTAGTTAGTATCTTGTTTCCCTACAGTAGCTGAACTAAAAGTATCCAGGGAATGAGGTAAGACTAAAAGCGAATGTGAGTAATTTGAATGATATTCAGTCTTGCCAGCTTAAACATTTCCTAGTTTTCCTGAATACTTTTCATCTTCAGCATACTGTAGTGGATTCTTACTATATTCTAAAGAGTTTACACTGTTCTCTGTTTCCATCGTTCAAATTCCAGGCTCGTGAACGAAGCGACGAAGATCACTCTCAAGTGGCGGCAATCCTTGAAAGTCCGTCAGTATACATGCATGCCCCGGACAAAAGTTTGTATTCTTATAACTTGCTCTACAACAGCACAGAGATAATTCTAGAAGATACAAATTTTCAGAAGAGGACCACCCCGAGAGCGTGAGCGGCATTCAAACAATGGATGTGCCTGATCGGAATTTATAGCCGCTCACGTCTTGCACAAACTTGTACCCGTTTCTTGAGATATTTCAGGTACTGGAATGGCTTTATGGCAGTGCAATAAATAGCTGGTAAATTAATATAATTGTTTTTTTTTCAGAAATCATTGAACAACAGCGTTCGTCGATCATCGCTTTTACTTCTCCGCAAAAGTGTCCAACACATGACAAGCGATGATCTCCGAGCAGCAGCCGAGCATTTAGCTTTTGGTGGGTGAAATACTTTGTTAGGATGCTAAAAGCTAAGCTTTTAAAGTGTCATTTAGCTCAATATTTTTAAATTTATGACTGATTTCAATCAAAATCTTTTACAGAATCGAAATCGGAAGATGCCTGCTCATTCTCAGATTCCCTCGTCGGCGTCCTCGTGAACGTTTTGGAGCAAGAGGAAGATGTTGATGGATTAAGAACGAAGTGCTTTTGGTAGAAGAAAAATGAAATTTCTTTTATTGATAATTTACTTAGATAATGTCCTCTTTATTGCACAAAGACAGCGGCTTCTGGGTGGAGGAGTTGATCCGGCTTGGCGTCTTCGAGAAAGTCGAGTCAATGGCAAAAGAGCCATCGGTCCCTGCAATATCTTCTTGTTCGATGGCCAACCTATTGGAGATTCGTGATTCGGATTGATGAGATGAATGCAAGGAATAATATGCTTAGCCGGTTTGTTTGTTGAGAAAAAAAAATCAGATTCTCACTGCCTAATCTTTTCTCATGAACTCAACGAGCCAGTTTTTACAGATATAGCTTAAAATTACAGTATACTTGTAGAGTATTTAGGCGCCCAGACTGAATAAATCTTTATCTTACAAGTAAACGGTACTGTAACCAGAGTCAAAATTACTGTAAGAGCTGATAGTTATCGTAAGGAAACTGTAGTTTGGGTTTTGATTATAGTGAGACAGAATACTGTAAGTCTATAGTATTTTAGGGAAAATTAGAAGTGATATGTGATATATAAATTCCTTTCAGTTCCACCTCTTCAACTCCATCAGTGGCTCTCGAATCAGACATCGAAAGAACAACTCCCGGAATCAGTGAAAGAGATCGCGGACAAATGCTCAACGTGCCAATATCGGTATTATTCATGATTATTATTGGATAAATATGGATAAAATATAGATATTATCTTAAACTAATAACTAATCTAGGTCGACGAGGACTTCTCCACAATGCAAACCCCACCGCCAACTGTTGAAGTGGTCGGCACACCCAGCGAGGCTATTGTCAGTCGAGAGGCTAAAGAGAAAGATTTTCTCCGAAACAAATTGAGGTATATATTGATATAAAGTGTAAACATATTATCTAAATTAAAATAGAGATAAAGATCTATTGTATAAATTTCAGATTGCCGTTTTGTACCGTTGGAAAGAGTGGCGCATTGTGCGTGACGCGGAAACGCTCTACATTTGGGCCGATCCGATCGCCCTGGAGTTTCCGTGAGCTTTAAAAAAAGCGAAATATTTATCCAGGATATAGAAATTGCCTTGAACTTTAGATTGAATAGTTTTTATTTCAAGTTTTTAGTCAGAACTCTAATGGCTGGATTCGCTATTGTCGGACGGTCAACTGTGGATCATGTACAGTAATGGACATACGGAGATCTCTTGATCGAGTGAAGTTGACGCGAAGAAATCATTTGTTACGAAGTGGGTTGCATGGGGAATTAGTATATAAATTTAGATATACTACATATCTAAAGTATAGCTAGCAAAATAAGCCTAATAATCAGCTCTCATTTTTTGCCGAAATCTTTGGCGAAGTCAGAGAGATGTCCCAGCCGGACTCTAGGACCTATAGACCAGACCAGGTCAGGTCAGAAGCCAGGCATGAACCTGGCCCTTGTCTTTTGAATTATATTCCTAAACCCATTCTTTCTATCTACTGGGATCCAATTCCAGATGGCGACGAGCAACGGCAGCTTGCGGCGACGCAATGCCCACATCGCTTCTTCAAATCCTGAATCCAACCCGGAAAGCCCTCGTGCCTAGCTGGGAGTTAATGTGTTTAAAAGGAAACGAGTTGAACGTTCGATGCAATATGGAACAAGAATCGAATCCGATCATTATCAAGGATGAAATTGCTGGGTAAGCTGGCTACGATTTTTGAGATCCTATACTTCTTTTAGGTTCACCTATAACTCAAACGAGAAAGTCTCCGTTTGTCCGCAAAACCGTTCTCTCGTATGACTTCAGCACTGGTAAGCTAAGCAAAACCTAAGGGTATTTCAAATTTCAAGTCTACGGTAACATATTGAAATTTGAAAGTTCATTCCCTAATTTCCAGGCTGGTCTCTCCATGGGGTCGGAGTCGACGAGCTTGTTTCCGGAATGGAAATGCAAAGGAAACGAGTACAGGAATTGGCGTGGGAAGTTTGGGATAAATATCTGAAAGATGCAAAGACGAAACCACGAGATGCCCTGCTACATCTACAAGAGGCTACATCTTGCATTCAGGTAAAGAAAACAGGGACGAATTGAATTAAAAGGCTAGAATCGAAAGGATCATACTATAAAAGAGTTGGAGTTCCAAAATGAAATTGGAGTTGGCTGGGAGTGACACCGAGGCTCAGAAGCATCTATTCGTAAAGGATCGTACTGTAAAATCTTAGCAATATCAAGTAGTGTTTTTCACAAGATACCAAAATTCTGGACCCAGGCCTGACTTTGATACTGTAGAACAAAAAAACAATACAGTACCATTAAGAGCTCAATGGCAACCTATTACCGTAAATACTGTACCCACCCCGATAATGACGGTGCGGAGTATTGCGTAGTCTAGCTTTGAACGCGTTTTTTCTCGACACTAGTTTATGCCTACAATGCGCGCTTAGGTATCAAAAAATAGCTCAAATTCAGGGCTATTTTTTGATACCAAAGACGCATTTTTTGAAAGTACGGGCGCTTTGAAAAAAATGAAATACGAAAAAACTTTTGTTTATGCGACTATACTATTACAGTATTTACGGTAGCTGTTCTATGATATCTAACTCATTTCAAAATTTCCAGGAGTTCGTCAAGAGCACGCTGATGAAGAAGAAAAACATCGAGCATGTTCAAAATATGGTGCACGCGTTGACTACGTGAAAGAGTGTATTTTGGACGATCGGCGGCTCTCGATTTTCGAATTGTCCGTGTCAGGCCTCGTACCAACGCTTGTTGGATTGTTGAACGCAATCGATCACAAGCCAAACTCTTTCCCGGCAATTATGTTCAAAGAGGCTTTCGGCTGTGGAAGTGCGCTGTCGGCGTTGGCGCGGAAAATGGTTTTGATTTTGGAATCCACCGAGAAATTCCCTCAATATCTCTACGATGCACCCGGCGGATCGGCGTTTGGATTGCAGTTGTTGAGTCGCAGATTTAGACTGAAATTGGAGTTGGCTGGGAGTGACACCGAGGCTCAGAAACACCTATTGAATAGGTGAGTCAAGAAAAATTGGTTTTATAGATTTCATTTCACTTACCAATAAGTGAAAAATCTTTTTTTCAGAACGAATCGTTTCTTCAAAAGCGAACCGCTGACCACAATTGGGCAACTCAAGAATTTCTTGCTGAAAATGGTCGCAAAACAATGGTAAGATTTCAAAATTTCAAAGTTTCAGAAGTCCTTTCTCAGGTATGATCGCGAAAGGGAAACGTTTAATTTCGTGAAACAAATCCAAAAGGAAAAAGAGCTTTCGTTCACGTACACAAGCGATTTTGATGATCAGGGAATTGTCTATTGGTTGGGAACGAATGGGAGAACGAACTCGGAATGGAACAATCCTGCATCGATTTCCATTGTTAAGGTTGGGAAAACTTTTTGAGGGTTTTAAATGAATTTCCTTTTCAAGGTTTCATGCTCCGACGCGCCAAGACAACCATTCGGTCGACCTGAAGACATTTTGAGTCGAGAAATTCAGCCACTCAATTGCCATTCGAGTGATGATAAGTAAGCCGAACTATTCATCAATTAGCAGACAACGAAATTTTGCATAATCCAACACATTTTGCATTTACATAACAAGCAGCAATGTGGCACTGGTGCTAAGTATGCATGGACCTTTTATAGAAAATGAGTCAGTCCCACGTTTTAGCAAACAGCTCTTGTTTTCTAAAGCTCGAAATAGCATTGTAACCACACTTTAGAAACAAGAACTGTTTACTAAAACGGGGAACTGACTTGTTTTCTACAAAAAACCCATGTCTATTGCTAAGTGATTCAGTTTACCGCATACAAGATCTACGCGGTCTACTCTAAATCTTAGGCATACAAGATCACAAAATCACGATTCAATAGATCACACGATAATAGGCATACAAGATCACAAAATCACGATTCAATAGATCACACGATAATAGGCATACAAGATCACAAAATCAAACTTTAGATTAGCTTTAGAAGATAATTTTTTTTACTAACATTAAGACAATATTTGATTATAAGATCACATTTGTAATTCAGAAATGGAAACTTCACCGTGGATCTCGGTTGCCTCGTTGCCCCAACCGCTTACACCCTTCGCCACGCACGCGGATATGGAAGAAGCGCTTTGAGAAATTGGCTTTTCCAGGTATAAAATTTATATAACTATCCGATACATATATATAACTATCCGATACATTAAAAATCATTCAGGGTTCTCGTGACAATCACGTGTGGGAACTTCTCGTCGCTCACTCTGACGATACATCCCTTGGTGACCCGGGATCAACAGCTACTTGGCCTATCGAGCCGGGAAAGGGTTTGTTTTGAGAAGTATTTGAAAAGGTTTTATTTTATATGTTTTATATGTTTAATTAAATCCAAATTTTCAGGTCCCTACCGATATTTCCGAGTCTCACAAAATGGGAAGAACTCCTCCGGGCAAACCTACTACCTCTCGCTGTCTGGATTCGAAATCTATGGAAAAGTCACCGATGTAATCATAGAAGGATTTAAAGTTGAAGAAAAGGTGGTTAAGATTTATTATTTTATTATATTTATTATAAATTATAAACTTATAGTATCAATTTCAGGAAAAGAAAACTCCTCCATCGAAAGCGCCCGCAAAAATGACGCCGGCTAGGGGATCGAAGAAAGGCGATGAGGTAATTTTGAGGATGAAAAGTTTAAATTCAAATTAAAACCTGCTTATTCAATGCCTAAATAATGCACTTTTCAATCTTTTACCACAAAATTTCTAGCCGAAATCCCGGGAACCACGTCGGAAGCTTTGGAGATGCTCCCGCAAGGGAGCGAACAATAATCGAATCAAATTCGGAATTACAATCGATCAGATTTTGCGATCGATGAAAAGCGGAACGTGAGTCGATTGCTTGCCTACACTTTTGGTATAGCCATTTACAAACTGACAGCTTCAGCTAAGCGAAAACTATTCGCCAACGAATATCGTTTAAAATTTTCAACTTAATGAGATGAAGAGACTTGTGAGTACTCTTGAAATCAAATCAATCTGAGAAACCCGAAAGACCAACTATTTTTAGTATGCGCACAAGCACTCGGCTCGTCTTCTCCGAAACATGCCCGGTGACACGAGTGAATTGGTGGGAATGGTGGTGAGGAGAGGACCCGATTGGCAATGGGATGAACAAGATGGAAGAATGAATGGCCGAGTGATCACGTACACTAAAACCTGGTATGTAAAAAGGGTTGCCGTTTCTTGTTAGCGACCTTTGCGAGGAGATTTTGGGTTGGCGCTTTAAATCGTGGTAAAGCTACGCGCTACCCCTCTTAATTTGCAGGTATAAATGGATTCTTTTTGTGCAATTTCGCGCAATTTTATTCTTTTTTTGGCGTATTTCTGCACTCAAGTGTCCTCACACTGCCGTCTGATTCTATCTTTCAGTAATTATTCTGAAGCAACCATCATTTTTTAACTGAACTGAATCAGCAACCTCTCAGTGTGTAAGAAAAGCTGTTTCTGCATTTTCTGCAAGGAATTCTCCAAGTTTCATTTTTTTGCTTCATAAAACCATCTTCCAGTGTCGAGTTCGAAGAATTTTCAGGCAAAAAATAAAGATATAGATGTTAGTTTGTGAAACTACTTTTGTAAGACGATTAAAATTGCGCTCCCATGTGTGGATAATGTGCCATTTGCAAAGAAGTTTCTCCGTTTTGAATGTACCGATTCCTTCTGCAAACGGTTTCACAAAGTTGTGTCATCATCACTCATAAAGAATGCGACGAAAATTACATCAGAAATACGCAAAAAGAATGAAATGAAATGAAGAGCAAGAATGAAAGAATGAAATTACGCGCTTCCTTTTATTACCTGCAAATTATGGCAGGATACGGTAGTTTCCACGCTTTAAAGCCCCAACCCAGAATTTTCTCGCAAAAAGGTCGCAAGTCCGTTACTTTCAAGCTGGCATATTTGGACCTGAAATTTGTCTTTCTCTTCAGGAATGATGGCCAAACAGATGCCCGGATGGATTGACGTGACTTTGGATAATGGATACACGAATAGTTATCGATACGGATACGAGGGGAGATTCGATCTGCAGAGAGTGGCTCGAACGACAGCTTCCGATTTGCTGCAAGTGGTACGTTTTTGAAGAAATTTCATTTAAACTCAATCAGTTTTCTTTTTCTGTATAGTAAATGCATTCATTTATTCACGCGAATAATGTGGTACAAACAATACACAAGCATAATCCCTAAGCCCTAAATGTAGGGAAAAACCCATATATATGAAAAAAGAGCCAAAAATCTAGCCGACGGATTGAACCCTTGACCTGCTGACTAAGAAACAGGGCTCTTAGCCGTAATTTCGGTCATGATGTAATGATGCTTTGTGTGTAAAATAGAGATTTCTAGATGCGTTCCCATCCAATCCTTCAACCCCGCCGCGGTGCGCCCGACACATCGATCACTTCCGGAAACTTGATGACCCCACCAAGCCGTGAACAACCATTCCATTCCGGCTTTGCACCATTCGGACTTCGATCGATGAAACCAACCGCTGGTAAATGATGAAGTTCAAAAAGATTTTTTACACTTCCAAATCTCTAGGCAAAACTCGAATGCGCACCTCTGGACGCCCAAATGCTCAACTCGGCTCTTCAGCGACTCAATCAAACACATCATCTTCTATTGGAAAGAAATCCATGTCAACAACTGATCTCGTTGATGAAAGAGCACGTGAAAGTGGGACAAGCAGTGCGGTTACTGTGGCCGCCACTGGACAAGCCGCTTCCGCTGAAAGCCTTCAACATCAAACGCCTAGCTTGGAGAATCTACTTAGAGGGTAATTTTTTTAAAGATATTTAGCTTTTTACTTAATTATATTTTAATGGAAACATTTCAGCTCACGAATTTACCAAATTGCTGAAAGAAATGAGACGCTTGAGGGAAGAGCGCCAATAACAGGACAGGGATGAGAGGCCCGGCTCCTCTCAACCATTGCTCTCCGGATCGTCGACGAAACAAAATGAAATGGACACCTCAAGCTCAACTCAGGTATGAGGTTTACATTCACTTGTGAAGTCAGTTAGTTTGATGACAGATTTATGTCGAATTTTCAGGGAGGCAGTGGAAATCTTTCCCTCTCGACACCCGAGTTGGCTGCGGTGATTCAAAGGAATTCGTCGGAGGGCTCCGAGTTGACGAAAGCTTTGGAAGAAGACGAAGATGATGATGAAATGATGATGAGAATGAGGATGGAGAACCGGATGATGATGAAGATGATGACGACGATGATACGGATAATGATGACAGGTTTGGAAGGGATTCGAAAACAACCAAAAAATATCAGGTTGGTCGGAAAGTTTTGTCCGCTTTTCTTAAAGGTTACTTTTTGAAATGAATAATCAACCAATCAAACGATGGTTTTTTTTATCAGAAAGCCCTATTATTAATTTACAAATTGCCCTTTAAGAAAATCTGAAATTTCATTTTTCGAAAGTAAATACAATAAAACTCAAATTTCTCATTTGAGCACCTTAATGTCACAGAAATCTATTTTTATGTCAAAAGACAAAAGATAGAGAATAAAAATTTAAGCAGATAGACAAATTTTCATAAAATTTCACCAAGCCTTTTTCATTCTATGCCCATTGTAAGGATTTTTGAAACAGAAAACAAGAATTCTCGTTCGGATTTGCTTCAAAGTGGACTTAAATTTGCCTAAAAATGAGCTAAATGAAAGAGTTAATCTTTTTATTTAAAGCAAAGCACACGTTAATTTACATTTACAACTTCGAATTCATTTACAAACGAAAATTTCAAAAACGCGGACAAGACTTTCCGATCAAAGCAATATTAGAGCGCCCAATTTTCTAACTTCAACCTTTATTCAAACACAAAAGTGTAAAGTTCTCATTCTGACCAATATATCGAAAACTTTTCAGAAACGAGAAGAAAGAGGGCAGTTTGACGGATCTATTGGTCGACTTGGATGGTGGAAGTGGCCCATCGGGAAGCTCCTCAAAAAGCCACCATTGCCTCAAATCCTCAATCTTCTTCGGCTGAAAGGGGGAATCTTTGAGCGAATTCGAGAAGTCATCGGAATCGGTGAATTGGTTGATTGAGTTCATGAGTGATTGGTTTTTGTTTTTCAGAAGATTCACTCGAACAACTTTTGAGTGCCGCAGCAACGGAGTTGATGGAGTGCCAACGAATAAAAAGGCGGTGAGGAAATCGAGTGGATCGCTGAAAGCGAAAATTGGAACCTACGCCGACGTGCTGAGATCGGTGATGTATCAGGTAGAATACTTACAAGAGTTTACAAGTGAAAAGCCAACTCGCAAAACCAAAACTTACCTTCTCAACTTCAAATTTCAGATGATGGATACCTCATCTGGTGACATTGACGAGATGGACGAGGAAATTTTTGAAGATGAAACGGACGCGAATGAAGACGAATTGATCGAAGACCATGATCTAGGACTCACAGCCGGCATTCTACCAAGAGGATTGATCGGAAAAATTGGAAATGATGGAGGGATCCGATTGAATTGGCGGCAAATGTCCCAATTGTTGATGAATGAACCACATCGTTTACAAGAGGGAACAAGCAAAGGTCGACTGACGCAGTCGAATCTCCGACAATGGGACGACGAATTTGTGCTCAAATGTCAATTCCAGGTATGGGAATTTGGAAGAAATTTTGCTTCTTGAAGTCGTGTTAAAAGTTTCGTTTAGTGATTTCTATGATCAATGTACTTTCAGGCACTGATCCCGGCTTTTGACCCGAGACCCGGTCGTTCAAATGTCAATCAGACACAAGATGTCGAACTGCCCGCGAATCTCACCGAGTTCCCAGCTACTCCTAATCCACTTGTCATGGTTTGTGATATTTTCTAACTTGTTCTAACTAGAGAAAGGCACCAGGTCAATGTGGCCTTTTAATACGAGAACCACGGGGCTTTATAGGATCGGCTATGCTAATTCTGAATATGCTTTTACTTTCTCCAAAAGAGCTCTCTAACGCGAGATATCTGGCATCAAAGTTTAGGGCGATTTTCGAAGTCCTTATAAGCTTTTTCGCTCATTCTGAAATATAGAACTAGTGGCGCAGTGAATAGTGTGCTCGCCTCCGGAATTTTTGCCCGGCATCGATTTCGCTCCCGGTATACTCTTTTTACTTTTTTTTGAGAAAATGGTTAGAAAATTTGATTGAATTCCACTATTTTGCGGAATTCGATTCAATTCCATTTTGCGTATTGAATTCCACTATTTTTGCATAAGCAGTCCGTGAAATCGTGAATAATGTTCACATGTTCCTAGAACATTTCTAAACGTTCTTCCTTTGGGGCGCGTTTTAGAAAGCGATTAGAGCGAAGAAACACAGTTACAACTATTTTGCTTAAGATTAAAACAGAATCAAGCTCAAGGAACAATTAAAGCTCCTTACAATAGCCAATATTTCAGAACAACGACATCAAACTCCGACTCTTCCTGCGTGGACCGAATCTTCCCGGAATCGAGAACAAAACGATCGAGTTGTGTAAAGATGAGCAATCGCTTTTCAAATGCATTCAAACACTCACCAACAACATCGAATGGCAACAGGTTTTGTTTGATTTTTAGAATTTTATCAATAATTTTTAGAAAGGAGACAAAAACCGGCGAATTTTTGACCCGACTTACACGATTCTTTACGAGGATGCATCGACTGCACCCAGTGTCGACACGTCGAATATCCCGACTGAAGAGAGCAAAGTGCCCGAGGTTGTCAATCAGGTACATTTGATCATTTTACAAACAGAACTTACTATTAGTCTTTAATCAAGTTTAAGTTCAATTATATTATATTACTGTATTACTTTCAGACATTGGATGTGCTCAATCTGCTCGCGAAAATCGCAACAACTCTCCCCGAGTCCGAGCTTCCGTCGAACATCTTTGTATCGGAGAAGCTCACACAAAAGCTCATTCAAGAGTTGTCCGATCCTTTGGTTGTCTCATCTCGTTCGATGCCTGAATGGTGTGAGCGCTTGATTTACGCATATCCGTGTCTTTTCACGATGGATACAAGGTGAGGAGAAAGATGAGAGCGTGGAGGTAGAATACATTGAATAGGCAAGATTATGGATTACTCTATAAGTTGTATACTAATGGCAAAATCTCTTTCAGGAACATGTACATGCAAGCAACGGCTTTCGGCGTATCTCGGTCGATCGTTTGGCTTCAATCGAGAAGAGACGCGGCGTTGGAGAAAACGAGAGGCGCCTCGAGCAATGCAACCGTTGGATCAGCAACAGTTCGACGAGAAGATGCGTATGAATATCGAGTGGGACGGTTGAAACACGAGAGAATGAAGGTAAATAGATTAATACAGCTAAACAAATCAATAGTACACCTAATAGATTGTACAAGTCAAGTACAGCTGAACACAAATGAGAGAATTTCAGGTGACTCGATCGGAAGACGCCCTTTTGGAGCAAGCGATCCGTGTCTTCCGCTTCCACTCGTTCAACAAAGCCGTCTTGGAGATTGAATATAATGGGGAAGAAGGAACTGGCCTGGGTCCAACTCTTGAATTCTATGCCCTCGTATCAGCCGAAATGCAAAGGAAAGCACTGGCCATTTGGTGGTGCGATGATCTAGATGAAACACAGTTGAAGCTAGAGGTGGGATTGGGCAAAGGGTTCTTTTGAGCCCAAATTTTTCAAATAGAATCTAATAATATTATTTCAGGAAAAGGAACTCGATTTGGGCGAGGGAAAGAAACCGCCGGGGTACTATGTGCGTCGAGCGGGCGGACTCTTCCCTGCCCCTCTTCCACCGAACACCGAACAACGGCGACGAGCCAGCGAACTCTTCCACGTGCTTGGGATCTTCCTTGCTAAGGTACATTGAGAAATATTATCTATGACTTAATGAAATTAGTTTCAATATCCAATAAAATTATGAAACTTTTATCACCCAGACTTCCAGTCTTACGCTATGTATCCCAATCCTTATCTTTTTGAATATGATACTTAGCAAAATCAATTCATAACCAGACTTTGCTGGAATATCAATGATTTATGTTGCTGTTTATTATTGGCTACTTGTTCTTATCAAAACCAATCCATCGTCCAGGTTCTACAAGATGGCCGCCTCGTCGACATCCCCCTCTCCCAGCCGTTCCTCAAGCTGGCCATTCATCCAAAAGTCAATAATCACACCTCATTGAACGATCTTGATGGAGTGCTGAATTTGGATGATTTCGAAGAAGTTCATCCAGTTAAAGGTTTGAATTTATGCTGTAAATTTCTATAACAATTTTCAGGTCGTTTCTTGAAAGAACTATCCTCGTTGGCAGCTCGGAAGAGAACGATTGAATGCGATGAAAATATGGACAATATTGCAAAAAGGAGACGAATCGATGAGCTAACATTGAACTTCAACGGAACACGATGCAAGGTTAGAATGGAAAGCTAATTTTTGCAATTTACCGAATCAATGGAATAGCAGCAAGTTCTTTTAAGCTACCCAAAGCTTTTACCTACTCCAATAAACTTGTTTAGATCGAAGATTTGGCTCTAAACTTCACCGTCAATCCCCCGTCAACCGTTTTCCAATATAAAGAAATGGAGTTATTGGAGGGCGGATCAGATATGGATGTAACGATGGACAATGTCGAGCTCTATGTCGAGAAATGCACCGACTATTATTTGAACTCGGGAATCATTGAACAGGTAGCATTTTTTGAGACTTTACTTGAGTAATAAGTTTTTGTACTTTATAAGAAATGAGCATAAAAACTGTCTATGCTAAGAAAGATAAAAGTTAGCTTGAAATCCGTAGAGAATGGTGTAATTTACTTTTTCTAGGTTCGTGCATTCCGTGAGGGTTTCGACAAGGTTTTCCCGTTGCATTCACTTCGATCATTCACTTCTCAAGAAGTACAATGTTTGATCTCGGGAGAGCAATGCCCTGAATGGACAAGAGAGGATCTTATCAATTACACTGAGCCAAAACTCGGCTACACTAGGGAGTCACCGGGTTTCCTCAGATTCGTCGATGTGATGGTTGAGCTGACGGCACCGGAAAGGAAAAGTTTCCTCCAATTCGCGACTGGATGCAGCAGTCTGCCGCCAGGTGAGAATAGAGCAAGGTTGAAAGATGGTTATTGAATAATGTTATGAAGAGTTTTTTAATTAAATTCTCGAAAGAGCTTTCAATCTTAACCTAATATAAGGATAGTTAGAGAACCATTCTAAAAGGAATTTTAGGTGGCTTGGCCAACCTTCATCCCCGCTTGACGATCGTTCGAAAAGTTGAGAGTGGTGATGGAAGTTATCCCTCGGTTAACACGTGTGTTCATTATCTGAAACTTCCCGAGTACTCGAGCTCCGAGATTTTAAGGTTTGTTAGGGAAGTCAGAAATTTTATACGTTTAATTGTTCTGATGACCATATTTTAGAGAACGTCTCCTCACAGCGATCAACGAAAAGGGTTTCCATCTGAACTGAATATCTTTTACCTATATCAAATATCTTTTCTCATTGCAATCAGTGCTCTCTGCTTCCTCTTTCATTTGCATATTTCATAAATGTCACCAAATCACATGACATGCAAAGAAAATTCATCCTCTTTACGGGTTTTCCCAAATCGTGGTCCTCCTTCTTCCTGATTGGCTTTTTTGTGTGCCAAATCCTTTCTATTCTAATCTGGTGTTACATCAGAAGTCATAAGTGTGTTTTGTTATTTTGTGATTTATTTCATCTCTAGCTAAACAAGTTGTATAATTATTTTTCGTAGGTATAGGAATTCGCCGGTTCTTTTACGAATAAAATACTTCAGACAGATTCGTTCTAGAAATATATTTACGAATGTAAAAATTATGTTAAAGAATTACTGGATAAGTTCAAAAGGATCAAGATATCAAATAGAATTTACACTGAGACTTTGAGCGTTCGTCTGGCTATGAGTTTGATCTTGGGTAGTTGAGCTAATATTACAAGGTAATTATTTACTTGATATGTTGTATCAAACATTTATTACTATACACGTTTGGGTCAATTAACACACGGTATTTTGGGCGTAAAGTCGCGTAGTCGTTACTGTTTTACTGATATTTTGGTGAACATTCAAAGATAAACTAAACTATTGAGTTGGTGAATTGAAAACTGCCGGCTATTGTCATATGTGACAGTTTGAGCACTTTCTTCAAAAGAAACCCATTTTGGTGTCAATGGAAAAGTTGTAGAGAATCAAAAATCAAGCTTATATCCAAATTTTCAGAACAATTCAAAAGCTGGTTTTAAAGAAATACCAAATTTACGAATTTTCACAAAACTTGCATTTTAAGCGAAACTACTAAGTGTATCTTTTTGGAAATTTGGCTATAAGCCTAATTTTTGATTCTCTACAACTTTTCTATTGACACCAAAATGGGTTTCTTTTGAAGAAAGTGCTCAAACTGGGCTGACGGCTGACATCTCCAGTCCTCCATTTTTGAGTCTCACACTTGTCTCACACACAAACCAAAATCCTACTACGAAAGAGGAATCCGCAAATTGCCTGTGAAATGGGCAGAAGTCGTCAATAATAATGGAAATTATTTGGAATAAATTGATGGTTTTATGTTGAATAAATTTTAGTTCAAAGTCTGGCAGTTTTCAACTCACCAACCCAATATTATAATCATTGAATAGCTCAGAATCTCCTCTTGAAAACTAGTACCAAATTACCGAGAACTTTCGGCAAAGTAAATAAAAAATCCTTAAAAACTTGAGTTAATACCAGAAATAATCGTTATTAGTACGAAAACAAAGGGCTGAATACTTTTAAAAAGTGATAAGTTACAGTATCTGCTTTCTATTTTGCACCATTAACCAACTCGGCATCGATTCCACTCTTCATTTTTGCCTTTTTCTAACAAAAATTAACAAAGTTTCAAAAATAATAATTTAAAAAAACCGTTACCGTTTAACGTTTATGAGCATTTTTGGTAGGATTTTGGTGGTAGGATTTTGGTTTGTGTGTGAGACAAGTTCACACTTGTGACACTCAAAAATGGAGGACTGGAGATGTCCCAGTTTGAGCAATTTCTTCAGAAGAAACCCATTTTTTGGTTAAAATATAGCATATAAACTTCAAAAAATTCGATCAAAGCTCTTAAATAGGGCTGCGTCAAAATCTCTTTTTTTTATTTTAATCCCCGATTTAGAAGCAGAACTCAAATTTTTGTGATAAGAGATATCCTGTTTCACTTCCAAAATTCCCCTTTTTACTTTGAAATTCCTCTTTAAAATATGGGTCTTTTAAGCACGTTATTCATTTTATTTGAAGTCAGTTCACTGATATTTTGCGATGAGTTGATGCAAGTGAATCTGGTGGGGATTTTGATTGATTCACTGGGAACTGTGAGCACCCCAGATGTACTTTATGCTCTCATAAACGCGCGTCTTTGGCACACTTGGCTCGTTTCAAAATGTTAAGCATTGAGTGTGCCAGAGAGCGTGCGTTTGTCTAGAGCTCAAAGAACCGATCGGATTACATTATAGCTATTATCTAGTTGTATCGTCACGGTGATCGAACTCCAATCTACACATATAAAGATGATCCAAACGTCAACAAATGGGATCTCCCAGCTGGAGCTCTCACTACGGTATTAGAGTCAAAAACTACGGTATTAGAGTCAAAAACGAACACCTAAAAGTTAGCTTTTACTCAGCAAGGCATAAAGCCCTACCCTGGCGATGGGATGCATGTCGGTATAGCTCACTGGTAGAGCGTTCACCCGGTCGGCGTGTGTCTGCGGGTTCGAATCCCGGCGCCGACCATGTTTTGTATTCCCAGCCTCAACCCACAAAAGGACCGGCATGTCCAACTACTCAAATATCATGCAAATTTAGATGTGAATAGTGATCATTTGTTGTGCAAACGCACTCTTTCTGGTACACCATTTGGGCAGAGTATATCCTAGTCGTTTAGATTGGGATGGAACAGCAATTCTTGCAAGGACAACGGCTGAAAAAGCGTTACGTTGGTCAACTCAATTTCATCAATGGATCCTATAATCCGAGAGAAGTGAGATCCTCTGGACAACTCTTTGAATGAAGGCCCAAATTTTCAGCTATACGCTCGATCAGCGGACACATCCCGGTGCATTCAATCGGCCGGCGCGAATCTCGCCGCTCTCTACAGTGGATCCGTTGTACACCCAAATACACCGGTTTTATTCGAATTTTTTTAGAAAATAAAGTTTTCTAGGGATGGCCATCGAATTGGATGCCTTACCCGATTCACACATATCCGTCGGATAGTGATACGGTAAGTTTACTAGTACTTTTGTACTCAAAAATGGAAACACACCTTTTCTAGTGCATTAAATTCCGCCTTTTTTTCAGGGTATCACAAACCTAATTGCTGTGAAAATGACAAATGAAAACGAGAAATTGAGTGCACTAGGAAAAGTGTGTTTGCATGTTTGAGCTGAAGTACACCAAGACCAAGGCTTGGATCTTTAACAAATCCAATATCTCAAACAGCATCATTCTATTTTTGATGAGACAGTATTGTATTGAAGTGTAAACATGCTCAAACTGGCACACTTACAATCCGTTTCAGGATTGGTTTCTATTTTTTTTTCAGCTCTGCGAAGAGGGTTCGAGTTCTTGCCAGCGAATCGGTCTCCTTGAATCGCGTCGACAAAGAGAGACTCCATATGTGCAATATTTGATCAAAAATCAGGTAAAATTTCGTTTTTTTATCAAGAAAATCAAATTATTTAAGGATTTTCTGAACCAATTGACCCAATGGTCGGGCGGGACAGTCAACGATGCGGGGAGTATCAATCGATTGTGGGATACGTTGTATTGTCAGGTTAAATTTATTAAATTTAAGATTGCACACTTTCTAAAATGTGTCAACTTTCGGAAACTACCGTAAACTCTTTCTAGTCTGACTCAATCTATAATATTTGGTTTCTATAATATTTATAATATCCAATATCGAATGCCGCAAGGGTTCACAAAGGATAAAAAAAATCGCGAAGGCTATAAATTAGATAAAATAGATAAAACGGCAAGATTGTGATAGCGAACGGCGAGATTACGATAAAGTTGACATGTTTTAGAAAAGCATAGCTAAAAATACAACGCGAAATTGGCTTTGTCTTTTCAGAGAGCTCACAACATGACGATGCCGAGTTGGGCGACGAATGACGTGTGGAATCAGTTAAATGAAATGTTTATTTACACGGATGATTACAAAGATGGACTTGGTTTGTGTATTGAAAATGAAATATTTGTATCTGTAGATAAATGAAAACGTTTACAAAAACTTTCAAGCTGTGCAACAAATTGGCCCAAATGACAACAAAGAGTTGTTGTCGTTGAGAAGCGGAGAGCTTCTAAAGCAATTCATCTCGAGTATGAGCGACGTGGTGAGCAACAATGGATACTGGAAATTTCATGTTTATTCAGCGGTTGAAATTAAAGTCTTTATCAAGATATCTGGATTTTAGCACGACTCAACAATCAAAGCTCTCATGAGAATCTATCACAATGTGAAATCGGTTCTAGGTGAGTTTGAAAGTTGATGATTCGAATTCGTTAAAGAGTTAAAACGTTTTAATATTCTCTCATTACAGTAAGAATATTTAGGTAATTGACTGAATATCAAACAAAACTGAAATCTCCTTTGCGCCAAATTTTTTTTTGCGCAACTCGCCATAACTTTCTTTCTAAATCGGCCAATCTTTATGATTTTTGGTATCATTTTATTGCACTTGTTGAGATCTATAAAATGACATCAGAATCATAAAGATTGATCCATTTAGAAAGAAGTTATGGCAAGTTGCACGCAAAATTTGGCGCAAATTACCCACCCAAATCTTTTCAAACAAATCTTATATCGGTCTATTCCAGCATACTGCACTGGGAACTGCACTTTAAAATTAAACTTTATTATTTAATTTTACCTTCAAAGATATTAGTTTAAAGGCATTAGCGTTTTGCAAGGTCAAAATCAACCATTTCTTTTTGTAGGCACGAATAACCCGGGTTACGCTTCTCATTTGGTGCATGAGCTGTGGAAAGACACGAAAGGAAACTATTATATTCAGGTGAGAAATTTCGAATTTTAAGACAAAACTAAGGGTTTTCTTTGGACATTCACAGTAAACCCTAGTCATTAGTATCAGCTTTTATTTCCTTCTTTCTTTCTTCTTTCTCTTGACAAGTTAAGGTATCGGATAGCTCAGTGGTTAGAGGAATTGCCCGGAAAGCAAAAGGTTTTACTTTCCAGAAATCTACTTTTTCTTGTGAACTTCTTTATTGCTGCTGCTGCTTTCCAAGAAATTCTATGCTTTAAATGCATGAATTCAGGTGTTATTCTCCGATAACGCCTACACAGAGTATCGTCAAATCACCTCAACCCTTGATGGTTGTTCGAGTTTCCCAAATGGATGTCCATTCAACAATTTCACGACATATTATTCCAGCTATATACAGGCTGATTTTTGGAAGGTATGTCACAAAAATTTGATACTAATCATATAAAAAATCTTTTAGCAATGTGCTCTGACAAGCTAACTTCTTGATCAATTGAGTGATTGGATAAAGCTTTCTATATAATGATTTCTTTTATCGACAAAGCCATTTTTACACCATTTTCTTGCATACAAGCAAAGCGTTTGCGTATAACAGACAGTAAATATTAAGAATTATCCTTAAAAAAAGAATCTAATTTATAGCCTTTCAATAAAGATATTCAGCTTTTTGTATGTTTTTTCATCATACAAAATAAGATTCCAAAGGAAATAGAGAAAAATCGTTAGGAAATAGGCGGGCAGTAGAAGCGATCGGCCGAGGATATCCCATCTGAAATTCGAGTTGAAAAGTTAAGACAAAGTTAATGATTTCTATAATTGAATTCTTAAGGTTTTAAGGCTTTCCTTACCTAGCCGAATATAGAGAGAATTTGTCAGCGTTTGAGCGAAACGCGTTGAATATCACTCGATCGTAGGAAGCGGTCAGAGGCTCCTGGAAGTTCGGTTTTACCAAAATACTATATCAACTATAGTTTTGATATATTTTTGATAATAATATTTTTGATAGTATTCTTTTCCTTTACCTGCTCATGCGCTGATCCATTCTTTTCCCCATTCCCATTTCCGATGAGTTTCATTTGAGCCACTTTAGTGCCAGCTCGTCTCTCGTAACGTCTAGAGATTTCTCGTTTTTAAGCAAAATTGTTAGGGAGTTTAAACCTTAAACAATAAAGTATTCAATCTGCAACTTTTCGATTTATTTCACAATATTTTCTCTATAAAAACCTGCGACTTTCTTCCCGAGTCCAATCACTTTTCCTTGCCAACTCTAGATACTTGTTGTGAGAATTTTGAAGAAAAATCATCACCGCAAACTAAAATCTAGATCTGATTTCAATACTTCCATACTTCTGTATCTTTGTAAATTTTAGATACTTACATGTAACAGCCCGAAAATCAAAAATATTATGTGAACAAGATTCCAGAGATCGGCCAAAGTGATCGAGTCAGATGATGGGGGAATTGTAGTTCAGAGATAAACACTGAATGGATTTTTGAAGAAAGGAAACGAAAGAAAATCATACCAAGATTGAGACTAAGAATGCGGCTGAAGAGATGATGAAGAAACGGAGAGTGGGATTTGATCGGATCACGAAGAATGAGATCCAGAGGAGAAATGGAATGAGGAGAGATGGGATGACAAAACGGACGATGAATTGACGCATCGGACGACGAGCGATGAAACGAGCCTCGAGACAGGAATGACGAGCTGGGGAAATGAGTTGAAAGGGATTCAAATTGACAAGTTCAAGTCAAATCATCGCACTGTTCTCTCAGTTTAACCAACAAACACCCTCAGTCAAAGTCAAATCAAAAAACACTGTCAAGACATTCTTGTCCGAAATCCGGGGTTTTGAATGCCTAGTCAAACTTTGCTGCAGTCATACTTCATAACTTTACTTAGAAATAATATTATTGTTAACTTTTAAAATAGTTTAAAGAGGAGACTTTAGGCTTTCAAATAATATAAATAAAATTTGATTGGGCCTAAGTCTTAAGAAAATCTTAAGACAGTCTCAAAGTCACTGTATAAAAATCACTGTATAAAAATCTAAGATGTTCTTTGTGTGCGCGCATTTGTCAAACCCCTCGGTATAAGGTGCTTTTCTTACCAGTTTTAGAGCCTCCACTTGTAATCGAGTAGACCGAATCATATGAGCAAGAGACGGGAGTCAAATCTGTAAGTTTTTGCTTAAAATTTAGATATTTACTTGATTTATTTCGTTTTTCTTTTAGATTTAGATAATTTCGATAGATAAATATTAGTTTCAATTGTTATTTAGGCATCTATACACCTTGAATTTCAGCTCCAGATGGAGTGAGAAGTCGATTGGAAACGATTCGAATTGGGGAACTTGTTTTCGACCATTGAAGAGTGAGCTGAGCTGCTGTGTGACGAGCTGAAAGGGAAAGCTTCATTCAACTTTCGAATAATAGATCTCTCTCTCTAGATTGCAGAATAGAAAACACTGTTTTTTTTAAACTTTTCAGCTACAATATTATAGTCACAAAAAAGACGAACGAGAGACGACTCTGATCGAGCAAGTGTGCTTCTCAAATGGATATCTCCACGTTGAGAAGCGACAATTTGATGTGAGACGAACTCTGAAATTTATAGAGAATTTATAATATTCTGAAATTACAATAGCTTTTATATGATTACGGTAACTATTGAAAGTTAGTAACTTAGAAAACGAATCAACGATTCCAATATAGTTACTTTATAGTTCCTATTTAGCTCCTATTCAGTTCCTATTTAGTTCCTATTTGGTTACTGTATAGTTCCTATTTAGTTCTTATTTAGTTCCTATTTAGTTCCAATATAGTTACATTATGGTTCCTATTTAGTTCCATTTAGTTCTTATATAGTTACCGTTGATCGTTGATCGTTACTTTAAAAACAGACCGTTGCTTTGACGTGACAACATCGCCCCCAGCTCGAACAACCCATCGCATCTCACCAAGGACCTAATTTTTAAAAACTTCTAACTGATTTAGCAGATAAATTGTACCTGTATTTTGTGTGAATCAAAAGCCACATCGGAGAAGGGATGTGGCTCGGTTTGTGCATCGATTGTACTCAATTCGAATGTTTGACTCGTTTCCGACGATTCTGATGTCAACAAAAGCTCGACTGTACTTTCAAAATCCTAAAATTGTGACAAAGCATGTAATACTTCATAAGGAATTGCATTTACCCCATTGCTCCAATCGAACGAGTGAATGTTCTCAATGAACAACGAAGCGTACAAAGTGATCGGCTTGTTTTCTAGAATTTGGATTTATACAAATAAATCTTGATAGTTTATTTGTATAAATCCAAATCCGACTTGTACTAGGTCTTTTTTAAATCCATGGACCTAGTACAAGGCAGCTTAGGCTTAAAGAAGAGTCCAGTTTATAAAATTAGAGAATATTTTTCTATACGGAATCGGAAAAAAGCACTTACCAAGTCCCAACGAAGTCTTCAACAGAAGTAGGGAAAATAAAATGATTTGACTCATTGATCAAAGAGAACTGAAGTAGGTTTAGTGTTGCGGAAAAGGAAACAATTCGATAGAGCGATAAATAATGGGGTTGAGGGGAGATTTGGAGAAAAAACGCTAAGAAAATGGATGAAGATTGTGGGCTAGTTTACAGCTTTTAACCCATGAGGAGAAAGAAAAAGATTGGGGGAAAAGAAAAGTCGAAAAAAATGGAGGAAATGACATTCGTCAAGGAAAAACATCGAGGAATGAGGTTTTTGAAAAAAATTAGTGAAATTTTGAGGGAAAATATGTTTGGGTGATCTTTTACCTTAACAAAGAGGATAAAGGATATCTTGGATCTTGGATAAAGAGAAAAATGAGGGAAAAGCTTCGATTTTTGGTTGCAAAAGCACTTTTTTTTGTCTATTTAATTGAATTTTTTTCAATCTTTGAAGTCTTATTATCTAAATTTTATTTTGAAAATAGATTTCCAATGAGTAAAGGATCACCTACCGTAAATACTGTAATAGTACCCCATCCCCATAATGACGGTGCGGAGAGTTGCGTAGTCTAGCTTTGAACGAGTTTTTCTCGACACTGGTTTATGCTACAATGCTCGATTAGGTATCAAAAAATAGCCCTGAATTTCAGCTATTTTTTGATACCAAAGACGCATTTTTTGAAAGTACGGGTGCTTTGAAAAAAATGAAATACTAAAAAACTTTTGTGACTACGCGACTGTACGAGGAGGGTGGGGTACTATTACAGTATTTACGGTAAGCTTGTTATAATACTTGTGTTACCAAAATAAAACCATTCATTAAATTTTTGAAAATTTTAAACACTCTGCGCTCTGGATCTTTTTTAAAACCAAATTCACACTCACCAATCTTTTTTTTTCGAGTAAATTTGAGCAATTTTTAATCAAATTCAAAAGGTTTCTTACTTCACATAGTACTAGTTCTTATGAAAGGGTTAATAAAGGGCTTAATCGACGCGATTTAGACACTTTAACAAAGAATAGATAGTACTCGTGTCAATAGATAAAAAATCGAGCACAAAAGTTTGATGTATAACTAAATTTTTAAAGAAATTCATTCAGCCAATTTCTTCTTCCTAGAGGTTTTTATAGATTTTTATGAAGTTCTTTTATTTTTATGAAGCCAATCTTTATGATTGTTGGTATCATTTTGTTGCACTTGTTGAGCAATTTAGGCAATTGACTGAATACCAAACAGTTACACTGAATACCAGTTTATTACTCTCGGCAATACACTGAATACCAGTTTATTACTCTCGAATTTGCTTCAAAGTGAACCGAAATTGACTTAAAAAGATGGGAAATTGAACAGTGAACACTTTTTATTTAGAGTAAATCATAGGTTAATTGAGTGAATTTGTTATTTTTTTTGATGAAAGTATGAAAAGGAACGAAAAGCCTTTCTGGATAGCATCCATAGGTGTTGAGGATAAGAGAAAGAATACACAAAGAGAGTTTTCTTTTCGTTTCGGTCTTTGGCACCACCTATGTGTGCATCAAAAATGGACGCCTCAGCTTTTCCCCCCTCTTTTTTTTTTCTCATTCACTTCACTTGTTCCCACCTGTTGTTCATCCTCACTAGTCAGTTGGAAGAAAGGACTCTTCACGGACCAATACCCTATCCAATACAAAGAGGTGAAGAAGAAACACATTTTTGAGAAGTATTAGTTTACTTTTTACTTTAAAGTCTTTAATTTTTGGTTTACTCTTTAAAATGAAAGTCATTGAGCTATTTGAATGTTTCGAATTGTTGTCCACAATTTAAATTCTTACAATTATTGAAGTTCGAGTGAAATTTGGTACACAGGTACAGTTAACCGACTATAAATCAAAGAATAGATAAGTTAAAGCTTTCTTCTAGATTCTATTTGCTTTATAGAATTTGTAATCTCTAAAAGTTTCCTCAAAGACAGAAAAAGAACATTAGCAAAATGTGTTGATTGAAGAGCTATTTTTTTCGTCGTTTCCCCTGAAATGTCTTTTTCACAGATGTTTCTTTCAATCAGTTTTCCTCATAAATCCATAGAATAAGCATAAAGTATTTATTGCGAAAGTTTTTGATTATCAAGATTTCATTTGATTACTTATTTATAAGAAAAGAGATCAAAATATAATAAATAATAAAAAAAGACTAAAAAGAAAAACTTAGGAAACCGGGATCTTTTTGGGCGTTTCGAGATCACACAAGAGACAATGAGAGACACAAGCAGGCACAGGCAAATGGGGCAAATGGGCAAATGGGGCAAATGGGCAAATGGGGCAAATGCGGTAAGAACTTAAAAATGAATTGCCATTTCCTTTTGTTTAATTTCTTTTGTAGAAAAGTTTTCTATGAATTCAATGAGAGAAAAGTCTGGCAGTCCGGTTAAGGTGATGAGGAAGAGATAAGGCTTCATGAAGTGCTCAAGTTCAAACAATTTTAGGCGATTCTGATTAGGTGAGTGCCTGGAATTTGTCTTGTTTAAAACTTTAAAGTAAAAGAACTTCTCTCACCTGAACACACGAGAGACAGCACTCTCCCGCATAATCGGTGATTCCACCATGTACCTCGCTCATCTGAAAGATACTGATTTACTCAAGTTGACAGACAGATTTATTGAATTTGGATTTGGCCTGATCTAGCTTACAGACTCGAGGATCCTATATATATTCATGAATTCTAGGGTTTAAAATGGCATTTCTAAGGTTGAGCCTAAGCCTAAACCTTAGTTCTGGGAACTGGTCGAGATCCAGAAAAGGTGGGGTTAGCCCAAACCCAAATAGACTTAGTGCAAGGCGCTAGCTACTGCCTTTGCACTAAGTTCAAGCTTGGGCCTGAACTGTTTCAAAATCGACCGTTTTTTACAGGCTTATTCAAAACTAGCTCTGGACTGGCTTTACTGAAAACGAGCAAAGCCAGAAGCCAGACTTGAACCTGGATTTGGCCTAGCCTACAGGCTCTAGGGTCCCATATTGTAATTCTATGTGAATTCTAGGGTTTAAAATAGCATTTCTAATAAGCTACTTTTATATTATGCATTTTGTACTAGTAATCTGTTTAATGTACTACCAGATCGTCAGCATTCTCGGCGGCACTCTTCAGAATCGTGTTATACCGTCGACGCTTGCAATACGAGACGAGAGCCTGTGATTTTTCAAATTTTCGAATAAATATCATTTCCAATATCTATTGTACTTATTCTTAAATAAATATATACCGTATTTATTCTAATTAAAGAGCCTCTTCAATTGAAGAGCCTTCTTTAGACGAAATTTTTCATTTTTTCGAATTTGTCAACTCTCGGATAGAAAAATCCTTAACTTTTAAAAGGCTTTCAAAGGCTTTAAATAATATTTATAGACTAAAAAAAGCTTCGTGAATGAAAACCGATTGAAAATCCAACAAAAACACCTATTTTTGAGCTCTTGAGAATTTGAGTACCGTATTTTCTCTAATAGTAGTGCACCCGGGCGAGCCGAGTTGGTGACTATTTTACGGTTTCCAAGCTTTTGCAGAAGCTAAACACTCAAATCCTCCACTAGATCTCATCGTCAGCTACATTTTCCGACCCCACATCGATAGGTTCTGATAAACGGTTCTCGAGATTTCGAGCAATTTAGGCGACGCTCAGGGTGCACTACTATTAGAGAAAATACGATATATTGTAGCTAGGGCACGAAAAAGAAGAGAGACATTCAAGGGGACATTCAAACATTTTATTCACATTAGAGGGACATTGAAAAATAGAAGAGTCGGCTTATTTTTTTATGAAACTATAATGTTTATGGTATTTTATGCTTTACTTGTCAAAAATCCCCTCACCTGAACAAGGAGAACCGTTCCAATTGCGCTCAACAATCGCCCACCGAAATTCAACAAACCGATCAAATATTTTGATGGACCAGTCACAATTGCTAAAGGGAAACGAAGGCTAGTTTTTTTTTGGAAAAAAATTACTTACTTTTTTTAAGCTGAAATTTCATGGAATGCTCATTGCTGACAGCTGCTTGAATAATCTCGGCGTTTAGTTGAGCCGCCCTAAAACTTTCTCGTGTAAAGTTTTACCAGGCATTGACGGTTCGGCGGGGAATTGCAAGACTCACCGAAAGTAAAGTTTTTTCGTTTTGATTCTCTAGCTTTTGATTCTCTACCTTTTGAGAAGTACATGTTAATTGAATATCTATTTTTTGTTTATAAAAGCTTTGAATCAAATACGTCAATGTTTTTCTTTTGAATCGCTCACCAAACAGACGCCAAATATGAGAGAACGTTGCAGAGTGCGCCGAGAATTAAAAACAAAATGATACCAGCACATTGATGACCTAGAAAATAATATATTTGAATAAGAATTTCTCAACAAACGATTAAATCTTTCTCGGTGTTCCCGGAGTTTTGTTCGGATACTCGTCATTGACAAGGATTTCTTCAATCCTCCCGTTTTACCAGGCATTAACGGCTCGGCGAGTGTTTCATCAGGAATTGCAAGACTCACCGAACCACTAAATTTCATTAAATCAATCAAAAGTATTTTAGATTAATTATCAGATAGATTTTTACTATAAAAGCAAACGTTACAACAAAAATTTACTATAAAAACATGTTTTTAAACAAACCCCTTGTCGCTTTTTGTCCGTAATGGCTTCTGTTCATCGTCGCTGTGTCTAAACTTATAGAATTTAACAATAAATTATTGAATTTATATTTAACATTGTTAGATTTGGTATTTCTCACCTTCTCGGATCCGAAGTGATCGTCGGTTGATGAACGATGATTTCAACTTGACCTTTTGCTGGCAACTCTTCGGTTAATTTTAGCGGGATTGCTGGCGGAATGGTGGCCTTTGGTTTCGAGGGGCCTAAAGGGAATTTCGATAAGAATAGCAAGTAGATTGTTTAAAATATCAAAATATCATTTTTTTTTCCGATACCAGGTTCATTTATCGTTGATGTAAGCGGTTTCCTTTCTTCGGCTCCTTTTCCTTTTCTCATTGCTTCGGCGGGTGGTTTACGCATTCTAAAATCGGTTTATATTGATAAGCAATTGAATTTAAATTTAATAAATCTAATAATAGATTCGCTATTAATCTATCTGATAACTAATAGACAAAGAAGTATCAAAGAAGAAGAGAATGAATTAGAAACTCCTTAGTTATTCAACAATTTTCTAGATTTTAAACGTTCTTTTTAAAAATTCTTTTGAAAAAATTTATTCTACCTTTTTATCTTTTGGGTGTGTTTTGAGTGGTGTCCCGGGTAATTATTGTGATTTTGTCTTGTCGCTATTCAACTGAATAAAGCATATATATGTTGTGTCCGATTTAGATTGAACTTATCGCGGACGTCCGATTTAGATTACAGTCTATATCGGACGTCCGCTTTAGATTCAATCTAAATCTTATATGGATTGAACAATAATATAAACATGCTTAATATATGTTCTTAAGCGTTTTCTGTAGTTTTCTGCATTTTTCAAAGGTCTTTTATTGATTACAGTCTATATCGGACGTCCGATACAGATCGAACAATAATAAACGTGCTTAACATATGCTCTTTGAAAAGCGCAGAAAATTACAAAAAAAACGCTTAAGAACATATATTAAGCACGTTTATTATTGTTCGATCTGTATCGGACGTCCGATATAGACTGTAATCTAAATCGGACGTCCGCGATAAGTTCAATCTAAATCGGACGGAAATCTAAATCGGACACAACATATATATATATACCTCATTAAATATTAGATTTTTCAGAAAATTTTCAAACTGATTTCAATTCAATTTCTCCAAGTCTAGATATTTCAAAATGATCTCTATTACTCATTGCCTTTACCTATTTTATCCCTTTTCAAAGCTTTTAGCACAAGAAAATTCCTTTAGAATAGGATTTCTATGGCAACGAATGAAAGCATTGAAAAAATTAGAAAAAAAACTGCTACAAGTTAATAAACTCTAAAATATGCTTAAAATAAAAATAACTGGGACTCAGCCTCTTTTCCCGAAAAGCGAAAAAGTGTAAAGATGATGGGGAACGAGTGAGTGACAAAGTGGGGAAGTCAGTGTGAAAACGAACCATTTTCAAGAGAAGGAAAAGATGGAGATTTTTCGAGATGAGAAAGAGCTTCTCGTAACAATCAGTTGGCTTTTGAAAGTGATGACTCGCTCTATGAGACAATCCTCATCAATCAATGAATAGCTGAAAATCTTTTGAAATTCTAATACTTTGTAGCCGATAGTTCAAAAAGTTTGCAAAAAGAAACTTAAGAACAATTTTTCATCAAGCCAAGTAGGTCCTGGCTTTGCTTCAAGCTTTGCCTGATTGGCCTAGCCCACAAAAATCCCTGAATCTGATTTTTGGTTGAGCTACAGAGCTCTGTTGGAATAGCTTTTACAAGTGAGCAAACTTGATCTATAACCAAAAGTGTAGTCCTTGAATCTCTAATAAAAATAAAATAAATAAAATAAAAATAAAATCTCTACACAAAGGCAATTACTGTTAATCAAATCAAGTAAAATAAACCCAAAAAGAAAGTTGCGCAAAGTGAAAACTTCAAGTATTCAAGGGTCATGGTTGAAAAATTGCGAGAAAAGCCGTGCTTTTTCCAATGAAATTTCCTCCTTGTTGTTTTTTACATCCATTGCCTCTTGGGGCAATACATGAGCCCCTTTTTTTCTTTTCTCCTCAAAACGGGGCCCGAAGTATCGACGAGGAGGGAAAATGGAGTGGAGAAAGAGAAGCCTTTTAGAGACCCCATTCCTTTTTTGGATTCAAGTAGAAAAAACGGGTCCTTGGTGGGAACAAAACTTTCAAATAAATAAGATCAAATTTCGTTTTTCTTCATGAATTTCGACACATGGGTGAATCATTAAATTATTTGTGAGTTCGGCACAGTGGAAACCATGTTTTATCAAGCTAGACCAAAGCTGAGATCCTGTCTGACATCTGACTGGCCCAGATAGATTTTAGAGTCAAAGCTGACCAGGAAAATTGGATTCTAATTTGTTTAAAAAGTTGCCTTATCTTGTGAAGTGAGGAAAAGCCTTCAATCCGAAGAGTACTTTGTGCTATAAACACTCACTATCTAACACAGCGGTTTTGAAACATCTCTTCTAAACATCTACTATCTGACCTACTGTTTCTTATCTTTTCACAGGATTTAAAAAATAAGAATGCCAGACAGCGTACGTTTACTAGAGCACAAAGTATCATTTTTGCTTTCCTTCTTTTTCTTTTTTACTTTGTGATTTTTTTTATTAATAATCAAAATGATGCTAAAAATTTATTGTATTTAATTTAAGCTTTATATCCAGAATCTTTATCCATTTCAAAGTTTGCTCTGTTGTTTATGGTGAAGAAAAGTGGCAAGATCGCCCCAAAACGGTGTCCTTTTATCAGTGTGACGACGGAATTCAGCCATCAGATGCTCATAAGCGCTAAAATCAATCGAAATTTTAGAAATCTTTTTCATCTACCGTCCATCGCTTGATCCAAGCGCTGAGTTGAGAACGAAATCGGGTGGAGCGATGACATCGACAAGAGAAATGGCATCGGGTGCAAGAAGGGTTTCCTCATCGATAAGAGTATTTCTCACCCATTCACCAAACGATCCACCCGAACAGAAACCACCTGGGAGTTATTGCTTTCAACTATGTTTACAACTTGTACAAGTTGTAACTACCGTAAATACTGTAATAGTATCCCACCCCCATAATGACGGTGCGGAGTGTTGCGTAGTCTAGCTTTGGACGCGTTTTTCTCGACACTGGTTTATGCTAAAATGCACGCTTAGGTATCAAAAAATAGCTGAAATTCAGGGCTATTTTTTTGGGAAAGGGGTCTGTTGAAAAAATGAAATACTAAAAAACTTTTGCGACTACGCGACTGTACGAGGGCGGTGGGGTACTATTACAGTATTTACGGTATGTTTTCAACTTGTACAAGTTGTAACTATGTTTTCAACTATGTTTACAACTTGTAAGCAAGATAGGTAAGGTTACGATAAGCTTTATCGATCGATTGTAAGCAAGATAGACAAGCTTTATCGATTGCATTGTTAGATTAAACAGACACCTTTTTGCCAATTTCTAGTCTTACCTTATATTTTAACTTATTAATAATCAAAAAAATATATTATAACTCTAGAACTGAATTTTTCGAGTTCTCAAAGACATGCTTAGCTTTTCAAAAAAAAACTAACCAATGTATAGAGTAGATAAATGTTTCTCAATTCGATCGAGCGCAAAAATATTGACCAAACGTTGCAGCACAGATCTACAAATCTTTTTGGATTTCAAAAGCTCAAATTTTTTTACTTGAATGCTATCGGAGCATCGTCAACAAAGGCTTGTGCCCACGAAAGCATCACCCTTTCTCCGTAAGCAATCGAGAGTGTGTGAGCTGTGTAAATCTACAAACAAATGACAATTGATCTATTTGAAAGTTCAACCTGTGACTCATTTTTGACATCAAACGAGCTCTTTCCTTGTGCTTTCAGCTCTTTATGTCGCATTTCGGTTTTTGCGATCAGATGATGCACAAGCCAAGTGTAGGCGCCGAGGACACCTGGGAAAACTTACAATTACTGATTATAATATCTTCTTGCTTTTAAAACATAGCCTTATCACAGTTCAATTATAAATTTAAAGATACTGTAACTTTCTCTACAGTTTCTCCCTTTCAAGTTGAAAACTAAAGGTTTTGCCTTTTCTTTCGGAGTTGCGATGATCGCTTATTTTGCATAAAACTACAGTAATACAATGGTTTAAGTTAGAAAAGTAGATTACTTTTGTTTCATCTATTCTATTTCCATTTATTCTATTTGACTTTCCATCTATTCTATTTGACTCACGTCTAACTACCGGTCCATCAACTAATGCCCCGCCATCAACCAGGAAATCCGTTGTTCCCATCGGACTTTTCAAATCTCCGCCTGCCGCTTTCTTGGCCACCAACCAATTTGAGGTTTGTTGAAGGAGGACATTGTTTTCTCCCTAAAAGCCTTTCAGTACGAAAAGAGTTGTGGCAGCTTCAAGTTTAAGACTTTTAAATAGTGGAGACTGTGGACTGTGAAGAACGATTACAAAAAAAGAGCAAAAACAACTGCGATCAAACCTCGAAAGTTTGTGATGGATCAAAATCATCGCGAAGATTGTTCAGACGAGATGATTGGAGGAAGCTGTAATGCTTTGAACATTTGGATATCAAATCCATCTTCTCACCCATGTCCTCCACAACATGTCCTCGCTTCACCCAATGCTGCCACGCCCATCCAAGTTGCTAGCGGCTTTGTGCAAGATGATAAGCCATGCACTTCTTTTGACAACTCTGCCTAAAAGCTTTGTTTTTGAGATGTTTATGCAAAAACACATTTTCTGGTTCACTTAATTCTACGCTTTTTTTGCAGTAATGGCTCTAGTGCTCTAGCTCTAGATGTGCTTAAATTTTGTGAGTACAAAGTGCACTCAAAATCAAAAGATGGCTTAATGTTTGGGTGAAAAACTTGAAGGGAAATTTTGTTTTCCTCACCAATTCGGGACTTTTCTCTCCGCCAACCATTCTCATCATATACTCGCGGAAATGATTCATCAATTTCGACTGATAAAGTCGAATCACGTAGGCTTGAGCCAAAATCGGAAATAGACGATGTCTTTGCAGAGGATAGGTGATCACAGCTCGTTCATCTAGAAACAAATTAAAGGCTTTCATTTTTAAAGTTTCCTACTATCACTGCCAGGTTTTTCGCCGAATTGATGTCGAGCACAGCTGTACCGAATCGCGATTGTGGCGGCAAGGCGGCAAGCGTTTGCTCCTTTTTGCTACGATTCCTAAATTTAGCCTAACAATAAACTTGTTGAAAGCTAAAGATCATGAATGGTAAGCTTATTGTAATCACAAAGTTTACCAATTCTGCCAGCACTCAGCGATCCAAGACTGACCGATTGACGTTCTCGACTCGACGAATAGGCACTCTTATATTCACCGCTCTCTGTCACATCACATCCTTTATTCAAAAGAGTCCACAATGGGGCACGATGGTTCTAAAAGGTCAAGAACTCATGGAATTCAAATATCATAGTCCAGTCCTTACATATTCTTGTGCTCTACGGTAAGTAAGCGAAATTTCTCACCGAGAAGCTCATCCACCCATTCTCGACTCCATCCCAAACACCCGGCTTTGTGCCCATGTCGCCGATGGTGATCCCGGGAAGTGAGCGGTAGTTATTTGGATCTCTGAATGGATATTTCGAGTGAATTGAAGTTTGAGCTAAGTTCTCAATCGTCCTTCATCCCCCACCTAACTTGTAGAGCGAATGCATGAGGACCGTGATCTTTCCCGCCAACAATCAACCGAGCGAACACCACCGCGTGAGTGGCTGATTGAGCTGAACTTTTGGTGTACACTTGGGAAAGAATATCGGCTAACCGAGATTCCCAGCCCAACACTTGATTGCTCCATCGTGTGGAGTGGTGAAGACGAATTCTCCCTTGTCGAATGTGGCCAGGGTTCCTGAAATGATTTTTCTTAAAATTCCATATAAAATGGAATTTGATTGGGCGATATAAGGAAATCGAAAGATCAAAGTCAAATCAAAATCACTGTATAAAGTCTTGGCGAGGTGTCCTTTATGCGCGTGCACAATCGCTCGTCATCTGATAAACCCCCTCGGGGTATATGGGCTTCCCTTTTGGAACCATTCATATCCCATTTTCATCACTCACCAATCTCAGCCGTATTCGATCCGTGCGAGACTTCGGTTAGACAAAAACAGCCAACGATCTAAGATAAGTTAATTTAGGATTAAGATTCACCGAAACCTCATTGTTTCTCGTTTTTTCGAGAATCTCCGCGTGTCTTTCTGTGCCGATCGTGAGAATTGCCGAGAAAAACACCTAAATGAAATTTTTGGAGAAGAGAAAAAGAATTTTGTCATAAAAGGTAGAGATTTTCAGAAAATCTACATTTGCGTGTAGAGCATATCTTCCAGACAATCCTTGATCATACGTTTCAAGGATTTCGAGAAGGTCTTGTGTTCGCTCAAGCTCGGCGAAAAACTGAAAACAATAGAGCTTATTCACATCGATCATCGATCGTCCCATTTTCTCACTCACATCATCAATAAATTGATGTTCAAGAACTGCCTTCCATCTTTTGTGATTGATTTCTCGATATTCATCGGTGGAAGGACGGCTGAAATCTCGGGCAAAGATCGGATCTCGGCTAAGCACCGCGTAGACCTCGTTCTACAAATAAGAATAAGATTCTTTCGATAAAACAGCTCGATAAAAAGCTCGAAAATTTAGTCTAATGCTAAGAAATATCAATTTTTATATATAAAACCTTGAACTTGATCGATTCCTCTCCTTCAAGATGTACTTTCAATGCTTTCCAATCAAAAGTCGCCGTTTCTCGGAATGGAGTCAATGGTCCTTTAGGCAAATCGGCGATCAAATCACTCATTTTTCAAGAAAGAAGTGTTTTAGAAAGAAGAAAATTTTGACCAAAATTGTTTCCTTGTGATTGAATGGATGGAAAAGAGATCGGATAGGGGAAAAGGGAGGGGAAAGATTGGCTTCCATTATCAAAGACTACACCCCCCTTTTTTTTGCCCATCAATGGGAATCTCTAGCGAGCAAACTACAATGTGATAATTTTTCTTTTGCACAAATTTGTCGTACCTATGTGATTCAATGTCAACTTGTGACTTGTTTGAATTCTGATACGTCTTTTCAAATCTTTGCAAACAATTAGTGTCCTTGTTTCAATGGGTAACTGACGTCATACTCAATTTAAACCAATTTTTTTTGTGCTGAATCATTTATCAACTTTGCTTGTAAATGTAAAACCTTTATTAAGCAATATTTCTAATGAAGCATCAATGATTTTTCTTTATATGATTAGCGAATGGTTGATGCTCGGGGATCTCTTCGAGTCGAAAAGGCTCTGACTGAAAATTTTGTCTAGTAAAGTCAAAAATTTTAGATCTAGAGAAACAAAAATTGTTTAACCTTATCATTTTCTGTCGTCGTCGTTGTCGTTGTTGTTTCTGTGTCTTTATCCTTTTCGCTCTTTATATGATTAGCGAATGGTTGATGCTCGGGGATCTCTTCGAGTCGAGAAGGCTCTGACTGAAAATTTTGTCTAGTAAAGTCAAAAATTTTAGAGATTAATTGAAATTTTAGATCTAGAGAATCAAAAATTATTTAACCTTATTATTTTCTGTCGTCGTTGTCGTTGTTGTTTCTGTGTCTTTATCCTCTTCGCTCACTTCGCTGATTCGACTCGCGATATGGTGGGGTTTATACTAAAAATGGTGAGGTAAAAGAAACCAGTTTCACAATAGAATTGTTTATTGTTGTGAAATAAAAAAAGATAATGGTTAAAGCTGATTAATGATTCTTTTTGAATGCTGCAAAACACCCTAGTTGATCAAATTCTTTGAGTAGAAAATTTACGCAAACTTTCAGCATCTGGCGTATTCAATCCTCTACTTTTAATGGTTATGTTTAATAAAGAAATGAAGGAATTGACAAGAAAAAGTCTTAAAATTTTAAAATCATAGAGTTATGGAGATAAAATAGCTGATAGCCTGGTCATCTCTAAGTTTACCCCGATTCATTGTGAATGACTGGATTTTTAAATGAAAATTCATCAGCTATCAATCGTTATGAAAATTTCAATATCTAGATATATTCATTTATCAAAGATACTCGTTTAATTAAGAACTATGAGAACTTAAAGTACTATGAGTTAAACATGGGAAAATAGCACCGTTTCTTGACCGTTTCTTGACCGATTGCTCTGCATTTTTGTCTACAAGCTGAAAATGTCGATTTCTATTTGTAGATAAAATTTTAGAGCAATCGGTCAAGAAACGACTGAGAAAACGAAGGTGGAATTAGGTTCGGCTTGGAGTTTTCCCTTGAAATTCACTAGGAGTGACCTCCGGATTGCTGACTCCATGTGCACTTCCCTCTTCATCGACTTCATGGTCCACCTCATGCACCACATCATTCTTCAAAAAGGTCGGATCTGAAAATGTTGCTTATTTTTACTGATTTTTCAACATTCTTCTGTAAAACATAAGAACTATAAACAAAAAAAAATCTAAGAAAAGCTTGCAAAAAAGCAAAAAGCATAGACAAACCTACGATAATTGTAGGGATCTTCCCTGTGTCGGCTCCGAAAATTTGAAATACTATAGATAGAGAAAAATAGATTAAAAAAAAAGAACAATGCACAGCAATCACCCAGGCAATTTCACCAGAAAATCCACGTTATTGTTACAATCGTTGTACAATTGTTGTTACAATTGTTATATTGTTTACAATTGTTGTATTACAATTGTTGTACAATTGTTTTAAAACGAACTGAATGAAAGCTCAAACGGTCGATCGTCGGTCGATGGTGGACGAGAGATATTTGAGGAGTTGAAGCGAGATAATGTCCCATTATTATTGATCACACTATTCGCTTGATATGGAAGTGGGAAGCCGCGAACGGTGAGGTTCGGCGAATTCGAGAGGGAATTCGCCACACTCACCGAAATCGATCGATGCCGGGGACCCCTGGAAATTTGAGGAAATAGAAGAGATCACGTTAAATGTTTTTAAAATCTCATACAGAAATCAACAATGACAAGATCAATTTGAATCTTTATCTTAAGAGCTGATTAGTGATTCTTTTTGAATGCTGCAAAACACTCTAGTTGATCAAATTCTTTGAGTAGAAAATTTACGCAAACTTTCAGCATCTGGCGCATTCAATTCTCTACGTTTAAGGCGATTTTAATGATTATGTTTAATAAAGAAATGAAGGAATTGACAAGAAAAAGTCGATTTCTGGAGAGGGGATTGAAGCCTCGACCTTTTGCTGACAATTGCTCGAATCACTGAGATATCTGAGAACCACTGAGACCACTGAGACCACTGAGATACCACTGAGATAGGTGCCTTAGTTCTCCAAGAGAAAGAAGGAAAAACAACGGGGAAGATAAGTTTAACATCTTATTTAGTCAAGTCCACTAGAAACGATTTTCCTCGAAACTCACAAATTCGAGAAGCTATCTCGGATCTTTTTCCGCGGCTTCATACTCATCAGACTTTGCGCAAAGCTACGGGGCAATGATTCCTGAAAATTGGATGATTTTTGAGAGAAAGAACTTCCTCACCATTGATGGAGCTGATGAAACAGGCGGAATTTCGACCATTTTCACATCGTCGTTTGGCTCAGCCAATCTATAAGAGTATTGGATTCAAAATAAAAACATTTTAGCTGAAGCCTTCTTAATTAAGATGAAATATAGACAAAAAGGAAAATCTTTATAAGTTAAATATCATCACTTTTCCAACTTACGTAACATGAGCAGCTGATCCGGCCAACACATTGTTGTTCCCGTTCTTTTTACTGTCCTCTGAGTAGACGGGAGCTTGATTTGTCTAAAGATTTTTCCTTTTAAAGCCACTCCAATAGAATAAACCTTGAATTTATCCATAAAGAGATCTGGATAGTGTTTATAATCGTCATCAACAATGGCTAGACCTGTCTGCAAATTCGTTTATGGGAAAAGAGAAGAATGTACACCATTTTCCTTAGTTATCGCAAAAACTCACCGCAATATTCTTGTCGATGAGGAAATTCATCTCAAAGTCGTCATCATCTTCGCCAAAAGGATTCAGCAAAGCTTCAGCTACCTGAAATACAGTACTGGACAATGAAATATGATATTTGAAAAACGATCCTCACTTTCGTGCGTCTGTAACTCCCTTGTCTTTGAGTTTAAACTATTAGTGTTATACATTTTCTGAAAGCTCTTTTCAAGAGCTACACAATGGTAATATTAATATTTAGAAATACGATAAAGAAAAGGGAGTTACAGACGCGCGAAAGTGACGATCTTTTTTCAAATATCATATTTCATTGTCCAGTAATCTGTATCTGTAAATTGAATAAATTACTGAAACAAACCTTCATCCAACCAACCAAAAAGATGAACTCAAAGACAGTCATCATTGGAAAGTACATATCAACCTGAAAAGTTCACAATTTATAGTTTGATCTGCATTTGTGCTGCAAAAAGTGGAAACACATCACTTCTGGCAAACTCGAGCAGTGATAGTGAGGTGCTTTTGAAAATAAAATGAAAGATTTGAGTCCACTAGAAGGCTTTTGATCGCACAAAGTACACAAAGTTCAAGACTTTTCTTACCCCAGTCCTCGTTTTTGGATCATTTCCAACAATGAATTGCCGCCCGACAACACAAATTCCAAAATAGACTCGAACCGCCAAGAAAATTACCTGATCAAGATAGTGAAAAAGTTTTTGCAAAAAAAAAAGCAAACTTGAGGATAGGCCAATGGGATTGGAACCCAGTCAAAACTGCATAGGGTTTGAAGATTGTTACGGAAGAATTTGATCTCCTGAATTGAATGGAAGACGATGAACACAAGAAATTGCACTCACATTGAGTAAATAGTTGAGATGACTGACTTGCATCACCCCATCGTTGTTCGGATTTGCGCCCACCGGTTTCCCATCGGCTGGCTGAATTCTTTGGTATTCGTTTTTTTTTCAGTTAGATCTTCTTAAACTATTTCTGCAAACTACCATAATTCTATGTCTAGTTTTCATCAAAAATCAATCTACTTTTGGAGGAGGATTCTGTGAGGATATCGAAAGATCTTTAAAGTTTATAGATTGAAAACTAGAAGCAAGATTACTGTAGGAAAGCTACAGTAATCCTACACTGTAGCAAAATGAACCCGTTTTAGCAAACAACAAATTAGTTGAGAAGAAAATACAATACGATATATCTTATGAATTACCTCCAAACAAAGGGCACAAGCCCAATTGATTGGCACCCAATATTTATTATATTTTTCATCGATTTTCACATCTTCTAACATTTTCAACTCGTGTTCTTGAAGAAAACCTGAAATTGGATTAAGTGGCTTGGGTTTAAGAACCATTTCTAGATATTTAATATTTTAAAAACTCTGTTTATCATTGTTCTCACCGCCACTCACAAGTGATCGAAGAGTAGGGAAACGGCGACGAACCGAAATGGAAATGTCACGGAAGACCAACACCTGATCGTTAAATATTGGGTTGGTGAATTGAAAACTGCCGGCTATTGTCATATGTGACAGTTTGAGCACTTTCGTCAAAAGAAACCCATTTTGGTGTCAATGGAAAAGTTGTAGAGAATCAAAAATCAAGCTTATATCCAAATTTTCAGAACAATTCAAAAGCTGCTTTTAAAGAAATACCAAATTTACGAATTTTTTGACAAAACTTGCATTTTAAGCGAAACTACTAAGTGTCTCTTTTTAGAAATTTGGCTATAAGCCTGATTTTTGATTCTCTACAACTTTTCTATTGACACCAAAATGGGTTTCTTTTGAAAAAATTGCTCAAACTGGGACATCTCCAGTCCTCGATTTTTGAGTCTCACACTTGTCTCACACACAAACCAAAATCCTACCACGAAAGAGGAATCCGCAAATTGCCTGTAAAATGAGCAGAAGTCGTCAATAATAATATAAAAGTTTCGCTTAAAATGCAAGTTTTGTCAAAAAATTCGTAAATTTGGTATTTCTTTAAAAGCAGCTTTTGAATTGTTCTGAAAATTTGGATATAAGCTTGATTTTTGATTCTCTACAACTTTTCCATTGACACCAAAATGGGTTTCTTTTGAAGAAAGTGCTCAAATGAATTTATGGTTTTATGTTGAATAAATTTTAGTTCAAAGTTCGGCAGTTTTCAATTCACCAACCCAATAATTAGATAATTATATTTGATAATTAGATAAAAATTAGATAATTCTATAGAATTTGTTTAAAAAAATACCTGTGATAGAACAAGATATCGGATGATTGATCGACGAATCAATCGCATTCTCTCACTCGCCCCGTGAACGAGAGCCGCTGTTGTGAGAGCTACGCTAAAATGCTCTCAAAATCTTGTCAGTTTTTTTGTTATTTTCAATTGCCTTTATAACTGAAGAAATTTGAGAAGTTTGCTAGTAAGTAAAGAGTAAAAGAATAGCTAAACTCACTTCTCAATCCATCCCATATTTGTGAGAATTTGTCTCCATCGATCAACAACTTGTGTCACAAAGAAACCGAGCATAAAAGTCAATGGTATCCTGACGACTCGACTATTCACATGTGCGGCAACCCGTTCGAAATTTCTGCTCAATCAATATATAGAAGAAAAGAACATTTCTTTCAACTCTACTCTTGTTGTCGATGACTTAAAATGAGATCACTTCGATAAATGAACATAACCATATAATAAAGAAGTAACCACATGAGAAGCTCATTGATCACTAAATGAAATCATTTACCTCTAAGCTGATTTACTAAAAAAAAACATTAGAACGTTTTGCCTTAGAAATTACATCAAATGTTGTACAATTTTCTTTGAAAGAGATATTTTTACCTATGCAGGGTGCGCCATAAGTTCTCGTACTTGTATTTTCTGTATTTTTGGTGATGTTAGATAAAAGATACGATTTTAAAAGTAAGAAATTCTAATTCCCTCGCGAAAAACTGATTTAGAAAACGTTTCTGGTTAATTTATAAGTGCAACACTATTTAAGACAAGTGATTGAGAAGAGGGTCCGCTCAGGCGTGCTTTGGTCACACAGTTATTTCTTTTGATGGAAATTTGTATGGGAAAACCAAGTTCTAACTCGGTCGTTGACCAAAACCTGACTTCCGACTCGGTCGTTGACCAAAACTTTATACGTCCAATATAAAAAATGTCACATTTTATGTCTAGTTTTCAAAAAACATCTTGGCTCTTGAAAATCTTTTGATCCATAAAAGTGACAGGCCTAAAGCCCCAAAAAAATGTGCGACCAAAGCACGCCTGAGCAGATCCTCTTCTCAATCACTTGTCTTAAATAGTGTTGCACTTATAAATTAACCAGAAACGTTTTCTAAATCAGTTTTTCGCGAGGAATTCGAATTTCCTACTTTTAAAATCGTATCTTTTATCTAACATCACCAAAAATACAGAAAATACAAGTAAAACGGGAACTTATGGCGCACCCTGTAGATTAGGTAAATCTAACTTTCATATGGTAACAAAAAAAATGCTTAAATACTTCTTTTTTTTCTTGCTGAGTGTGCCAGAAATTTATCGATTATAATCCTGTCCAAAATTACCCGATTTCCAAATACTCCCGCGCCACCGAAAGAACAATTTTATCCATGAAAAGCACGAGACATTTGCAACATCCAAATTATAGGGAACCGTCATGTTAACATTCACAAAATTGGATGAATAAAGGTGAAGAAGGAAGTCTAGATATTAGTTAGAGATTAGATAGATATTAAATAGATATTTAATCTTTGAAACGTGATTGATCTCGAGGAAATCTTCTTGTCTAACTCATATTGAAGGGGAATGGATGGAGAGATATCAAGGACACACCTTCCCCATCTTCTCCATTCGATAACCATTCCACGTTTCCCCATCTTTCCCCTTTTCTCTCATAAATCAGTGTATCTTGAACATCGATACCCGGGAAAAGCAGAGTAATCCTGTCAAACGGTTTTCTCTTTTTTGACTTGAAAACGCGGTGATTGCTGATGTCTTTTCTTCAAAAAGCACTTTTAAAACTAATTGAATGATCTCTCTCATATCTGTATCGTTTATCTTATGTCGAAACTTTTTGAAAAGTTTTTTGAATACCTCAGATCATCCGGAAACTGATCTAGACCACGAGGTACCATGGATAATGATAGATTTGACTAGAGACTATGTTCCTCTCACGCGTTTTCTAAACATGTCCCACCGCAATCTTTCCTCTGCTTCCTATTTTAATTTTATAGCTTTCGATATTCTTCGGAAACCCTCAGAAAAGATTACGTTTTGTGGTTGTCAAATCCAAATCCAAAATGCCTAGCTCTCACGCATTTTAGCATTTATGTGTGCTCCGTGAGACAGCGAGAATTATGCATGCATGTTTGTTATGCACAGTCGAACCTTTATCTGAACCAGGATTGTTTCTAGGATTGTCCAGGCCAAGCCAAAGTCACGCTAATTCTTGGCTTTTGGCTTGACGTTGGCTTGGCTAGGCTTCTTAGTTTTTTGGAAAAGCCCCGATTGTAATCGCTTTACATTTATAATATTCATAAGATGTATAATATCCAGAGACCGGCAGAGACAGAGACCAAAGCGAGTGGCTCACTATTAGCACATTTCAGCACCAATTTCAGCCCATTTTTACGCTAGAATCACCAACTTTGATCTGCCTTAAGAGTTAGAGACAGATCACTAAACTAGTGTGTCCACAAAGCTGATCGATGAGCTGCAAAACCACCAAAGCATCTCATGAGTGAGCCAAGTCGTGAAACAAGTTTCTTGTGAGAGCTCTACACTTGAAACTTGGAAAAGTCGTTTTTTTGGGTCCATGGCAATTACTATGCGATGGCTGTTATAAAATAGAATACATTTATTGAAATGCTATCAATTATACGCGTTTCTTTTTGTGCTTCTTTTCACCAAGCACATCGTTTCCAAGTTGATCGTTGAAACGACAATGAGTGGAGAGAGATGATGGAAGACACGGGGTGACGAACCTGAAACAATCAATTTAACAAAATAAAATCGATAAAAAACGAACCACAGATACCATTCCTTTTCGCGTTTATCTCTGAAATGTAACTTTTATTCAATTCTCTTAAAGATTTTCACCTATACTTTCCATATGTGAAATATTTCACGCATTTGGGATTATTGTACGGGGTTTTTTGAATGACCGAGAGATCAGCCTCGGGAGCACAACCGAGGGGGCAAGAGATACGGATCTCTGATCTAAAAGTGAAGGATTCAAAGTTGAACGGGAAATCTATTCGATTAGATTTATTCGAAAATCTAATGAGCAAAAGTTCAAACATGAAATCAATTAAAAGTACAAGTACAATTAAAGTACGATTATCACCCATCAAACTACCAAACGCTAGCCACGATTCTTAACTTTAGTTCGATTTGTCAAATCGTTTTAACTGTTTACGTTTCATCTAAGAAATGTTAGTAAAAAGATTTCAGGTAAGAACTTTGAACATAAACACAAAATGTTAAGGCTAAACGTTTTAGCACCAATCAAAATCTGCTTTAGTCAAGGGCTTTCACTCCTTTAAATTTTAGTGAAATTTAAGGACTTATGAAATATCTATAAATGAAACTAATGAGCAAAAGTTAAAACATGAAATCAATTAAAAAGTACAAGGCGATTATCACTCATCAAACTGCCAAACGCTAGCCACGATTCTTAACTTTAGTTCGATTTGTCAAATCGTTTTAACTGTTTACTATTATTAGATTTAAAGGTTTCAAATATTCAATTTCCTTTACGAAGCAAACATCACTTTGGCAACGAGTTCCATGCGGATTTCGGCATTGACTCTTGACGACATCGATAGCGATTTGTGTCACTGATAACCTAAAACAAAGATACATTTTACGTATCTATTTTCAAGTTCAAGATTTTAAGAAAAGAATATCAAGCAAAAGCTTCAATCAACTCAATTTCCCGTTATTTAAAAAAACCTTTTCACAAACCTTCGAATTCTCAGCCACCAAATGACACTGAATTGTGTCACTGATAACCTAAAACAAAGATACATTTTGTGTACTGTATTTTCCGTAATAGTAGTGCGCACTACTATTTTTTTCAACCCCCCTCCAGCCTGCACTACTATTACAGACTGCACTACTATTACAGAAAATACGGTATCTATTTTCAAGTTCAAGTTTCAAGTTCAGTTCCACCAACTTGCCCGACTCGACTCCCATTCAAACATTCGATCGTTCGTTTTTCTTAAATTTTATTCATTTTAAACTCTAAAATTTGTCAAGTTTTAGAAATTGAAATCAAATCAAAAACTTACTTGTTAACTGTTCAAATTCTCACCCACTTACCCCATCTTGGCCAATCTTGAGCGCACAGAATCCCATTTGACAAAGACAATAGCAATAGACTTGTGAAAATTAAAAACATGACTTTGATAGTAAAAAATGATTGTAAATGCTTAGGCAACATGTTATTTATATGTGATATTGATGGGAACTCGTTTTTTGCTTCACTTTCCTTCACAGGATTGCCTCCAGCTGTGTGCGCACTCTCGCCTCGTTTCACTCCAAGAATGACAAAAAAAAATGGGTGAGTGAAACTGATTGAAAGAGAAGAATTGCAATAATCTTGTACGAATTTCATTTTTTTTGCAAAAAATTTAGTTTAACTTGTAGTGTTTCAAATGATAACTTGTCAATTTTGGCTCGAGTGTGGAAATTTTGAATGAGTTGTCACTTTTGAAGGTCCATGAAAATCCACAAGATGTAAAACTTGTAGAAAAATATAAACAAATTTATTGCGAGAATTGATCCCAGAAATTTGGGCATAGTTTATATTTAGCATTTCACCCCCAAGTTTGGCACCATTGATGTGTCTCTTTCAATTGGAAGTTAATTGGAAAATTATCGAGGACAGCCATTGATGTGTCTCTTTCAATCCAATCAAGGAAATGGAATGGAATTCAGCTCATTAGGGAGACAGCTTCGATAAAGAACATCACACAAAGAGGACTAATTCTTTGAGGAGTTCCAGAGCTTGTTAACTGACTTCGATCGTTAGCTGACTTCGATCGTTAGCTGACTTCGCTCGTTAGCTGACTTCGATCGTTAGCTGACTTCAATCGTTAGCTGACTTCAATCGTTAGCTGACTTCAATTGTTAGCTGACTTCAATTGTTAGCTGACTTCAATTGTTAGCTGACTTCAATTGTTAGCTGACTTCAATTGTTAGCTGACTTCAATTGTTAGCTGACTTCAATTGTTAGCTGACTTCAGTCGTTAACTGACTAGCTAACAACTAAATTCAAACGTTTAAAGTTACATTTCAGAGTACTGCAGACTTCTACAGTACAGGAAGAAAAAAAAATACGACAAATTAGATTAACTCTCTTGCAATCCATAAAACTTTATTTTAAGTATAAAGCTTTGACCATTTCCTCATTTCCATTGCTTTCCGTTGCTAAAAATCATTCCACTAAAACTGATTGAAAAAAGGAAATTTCCCTTTGTTCTCCTCTTTTTCATAATGTAGTTTCCTTTTTTGCTTTTACTGCCATTCATTCTTTTGGAGAGTTCAGAACAGGAAGTCTTTTCAATTTTCAGCTCTTTGCAATCACTTTGTTCCAAGCTTCAACTTTTCTGCTTTAGTCAATCAATTTGTACTCACAAACAAGCACAGTTTGACATACTTGTTTTTCACATTCTTGATAGTATCATAGTCGTTTGCTATATTTATATATCAGCGAAACTTTAGCTAAACACAGGAAAAGCAGACTAAGCTGACAATGAGTCAGAAAACTGGGGCTGAAACTGGAAGACTTTGAGCTGTCAGTCTTGGAGAGGCCAGCGCCAGTACAGTCAGTACTCCACAAGAATAGTACAGGGTTTAGTCTGTTTAAACTTCTTGTTGATTGCACGTTTTGCTTATGTGACATTATGTATGTATCCATTTCCAGGTGGTGCCCAAGGTCCTATTCGATTCTTTGATTTGAGGGGAAGGGAAGGGGTGGAAGGGTAAGCAGGTGGTCACCCCTCTGCTCCTCCCTTACCCCTCATATTTGGATGTCATTGTCTGCCTGTTCAACCCTTCTCCATTCCATTCCTTTTTTCTCAAAAATTTTTTCATATTTATTTGCTTATTTATTTGTTCGTTTGTTCGTCCCCTTTTCTCTTCCATTTCCCCTTTGCCCGAATGAAATTGCGCGCCAAAAATGCTTTCGGATCGTTTACTTCCTGCATATGTGAATGATTGTTCACAGATTGATCGTTTACATATGAATATAATCTTGTTAATTAAACGAATACAATTTTTGAATCGTGATCAAAATACGATGTTTTTTAGTAAACAGTTAAAACGATCCAACTAAAGTTAAGAATCGTGGCTAGCGTTTGGTAGTTTGATGGGTGTCGCCTTGTACAATCGCTTTGTACAATCGCCTTGTACTTTTAATTGATTTCATGTTTTAACTTTTGCTCATTAGTTTCATTTATAGATATTTCATAAGTCCTTAAATTTCACTACAATTTAAAGGAGTGAAAGCCCTTGACTAAAGCAGATTTTTGATTGGTGCTAAAACGTTTAGCCTTAACATTTTGTGTTTATGTTCAAAGTTCTTATCTGAAATCTTTCTACTAACATTTGTTAGATGAAACGTCATCTCTGGCCACAATCGTCACACTTTTTAGTCCCTAGTCCCATCTCTTTTCCCCAATCCAGTCTCACCCTTTTTGTGGGTGATTTTTCAGCAATAGTGTCTCATAAAGAAGTACTCTTTTTGTATATGCTCGGATTTTTTTACGTTTTCTGTATTCATATTCCTTATTTTAGTCTTTTTGTGATCACATATTCGTATAGTTGATCTCTCTTTCTTCCTTTTCTGCTGCTTAGTGACATCTTTTCTTCTTGCTTCTCATTTCATGCTTTTCATCTATACTAAACCTACTCGAAATTTTAATCGATATCGATAAGTTTCGATAAGAGCCCTTATTCGAAAGTCGATAAGCAGATCTAATCTATAATATTCGTTCTATAGTTCGTTCTATAGTTAGAAACCCTTCTTTTCTTCAAATCTTTGTCATTATTTTCAACTTTTGCTCATTAGTTTCCTTTATAGATATTTCATAAGTCCTTGAATTTCACTACAATTTAAAGGAGTGAAAGCCCTTGACTAAAGCAGATTTTTGATTGGTGCTAAAACGTTTAGCCTTAACATCTCTCTTTCTTCCTTTTCTGCTGCTTAGTGACATCTTTTTGTTCTTGCTTCTCATTTCATTTTTTTCACCTATACTAAACCTATTCGAAATTTTTATCGATATCGATAAGTGTTTCGATAAGAGCCCTTATTCGAAAGTCGATAAGCAGATCTAATCTCTACTATTCGTTCTATAGTTCCGAATTTTTGAAACCCTTCTTTTTGTCAAATCTTTGCCATTATTTTCAACTTTCTTGATGTCAACTTTTCCAAGGTAACCCTTCTTCCACCTGTTTTCCCTATTTTCCCATTTTCCCATTTCTCCATTTCCCCTTTCACCTATCAATCTCGTAAACAGAATTTGGGGCGAATTCATGAATCAATGTGTGATCTGGGAGGAAATTTTGTTAAGGAAAACGAAAAACACTCGAAAGCTAAAAGAAGAATTGGAAAAATAGCAAAATTGGAAAATACCTGTTTAGCGCTTTCAAATACCCTTTCAGATATTTTTCTTATCAAAATTAAGTACTAACTATTGTTATTGCTAGCTGGTGTTCAAATACTTTACCTTTTTCTTGTCCTGATCAGAAATCTAGTAGCACTTTTGTCTAGCAGCATTGAATGAAACTAAATATTAAGTTTATTATCAGCCCAATTTGATAGCGTTGACTGAGCCTTGGGAATCGGTAGTTTTTCTCAGGTACCTTTTAGAAAACACATTACTCAAGAGGGGACACACTCTAGTTGAGAGTTTTGGTCCCTTTCTTTCCCCCATTTTCCACCATTTCCATTCCCAATATTTGCATATGACACATGCCGTTTGAGGGATTTTTCCCCTCTTTCCTCACTGATTGCCATGCAAAGTGTGCCGCCTTTCTTTCCCCACCATCTCAAATACGATTCCCAATTCAATGCAAATTTGCAAACTTTACTTTAAACCAGATTTTGTCTTTTTCTTCGATTTGACAGCTGCAGTTTGGTGGTGATCTTTTTGTATTCTTCAGTTTTTTTGTATTTTTGTAATCTATTTGCAGCTGCTTTGAGCTGAAAAACTGGGCTAATGAGTTTCACCAAGATACTATAAAAAGAAAAACTTGGTTCATTGAATATCTTGTGATTTCTATAAAAAGCGACTTCGTTTCAGTCGACATAACAAGTGCTGAGAGAAAGGGGATCGGGAAGTGATCGAAACGGGAAAAAGGATCGAATACCTGAATTGGATTCGGAAAGGATCGCATTTCTCAGATCTATTCGAAGGCCCCTTATTTGGATCTTTGTCACACCAAACTATTTTACAATGAACTTACAGAACGGTATTCTTGTGACCTAATTTCAACCTCGTTTCCGTCCAGTTAGGCCTTGTCCTGGCATTACTTCTTGTTTTGTGTTGCCTGATCTGGCTTGGCCTGGTCTAGCTAGTCTATAAAAGTCCATAGGACCAGGATTTTCCGGGTCTCTTGCACTACAGACAGATTCTAGCATTACTGATTATCTTACCTGACCTGGCTTTACTTCAGGCCGGTCAACAACCGGTACCAATATGTCTCTGTGCTCGCCAAAGCCTGGCTTACAAGCGCTAGGATTCAATTGCGAAGATCAGGTCAGATCTAATCGTAAGCTATTTGTTGCAAAACGATCTAACATCAAGATTGAATTATTTGAATTGTTTGATATTCAGTATTAAGACTATGGCTTTACAGGCTTTTTAGAAATATTTCCAATTACCATTGATCTTTCCCACATCATTTTATTACTCATTGATGTTTTAAATGTTAATTAGCCTTTCAGCTGAATATCTTGAGACCATTTAAAGATTCTTTTCATTTTTAAAACTTCTCCTTGTTTATAAAGGTGCTTAGGTCAACCCAGACCAAGTCACACACTGTTTTTCTGGTTTCTATAAAATTTTCTTTAAAAACAAGCCAAAATCAACAAAGAAAAAGAAAGAAAATGTTGAAATATTTGTTGAAAAGATTATTGTTGAAATATTTGTTATAAAACACCAAAAAAATCTCCCCTCCTTGGTTCAATTTGTCGTCCAACTTTTTTGTGGACAGAAAGGGGCTCAATTTGTGTTTATTCGTCCTCTCTCTTGTTCATCTTTGTGTGTGTGTGTTCTTCATGGGATCTTTTTGGAATCAAAAGAAAAAGATAAGAAAAAAAGGGGGGTAAACAAACCGTTTCAAGACAGGAAAAAGTGGTGGAGGGTAAGATGTACAAAGGGGAGGACGTACGGA